GTGAGCTACCCACTTGCTGATCTCCCAGTGCTTTCAGGTTTCTCTTTGTCTCTGCATGGTTTGAACAGTGCAGTTCTGATCTGTCTAGTTGTGAATCTTCCCGAGTTTATCTTTTTTTTTTTTTTAAAGATTTTATTATTTATTTGACAGACAGAGATCACAAATAGGCAGAGAGGCAGGCAGAGAGAGAGAGGAGGAAGCAGGCTCCCCGCCAAGGAGAGAACCCGATGTGGGTCTCGATCCCAGGACCCCGGGATCATGACCTGAGCTGAAGGCAGAGGCTTTAACCCTCTGAGCCACCCAGGCACCCCCGAGTTTATCTTAGTTGAAGTTTTTTGGATTCTTCGATTTTTGGGGGGAGATTTTATTTATTTATTTGAGAGAGAGTGTGAGCATGTGCATGTGCACACAGGGGCGGGGAGGGATGGGGGAGGGAGAGGGAAGGAATCCCAAGGAGTCTCTGCCCTGAGTGTGGAGCCTGACATGGGGCTTGATCTTACGACTCCAAGATCATGACTTGAGCTGAAACTCTACAGTTGGATGCTTAACTGACTGAGCCACCCAGGGTGCCTCATGGGTTCTGGGATTTTAAAAATCAAATTTTGGAAAATTTTGGCAATTCCTTCAAATATTTGTTCTGAGCTTTTCTGCTTTGGGGCCCCTGATGATGGTGATGTTGGTGTGCTTGACAGGTCTCTGAGGGTCTGTCCATCTTCCTCATTCGCTCTCCTTTCTGTCCTCTGGACTAGACAATCTCTATTGGCCTATCTTCCCCACTGCCCTGTCGGATCTGCAGTTGCTTCCCTCTAGTGAATTTTTCATTTCATTTATTGAGCTTCTCCAATCCAGAATTTCTCTCTGTCTCTCTTGCACAACTTTTTTAATCAGTATTTTCTGTTGCTGAGACATGGTTCTCCTACTTTCCCTTGGTTCTTTAGAGATGGTTCCTGTTAGTTCTTGGAACCTATTTCTAAAAGCTGACCTACAGTCTCTGTCAAATGAGTTCAGTGCCTGGTCCTCCTCGAGGACAGTTTCTGGTGGAGGTTTTTTCCTTGTGTTTGGCCATCCTGTCTCATTTCTTTGCATGTCTTACAAACTTTCGTTGTTAACTGGATGGTTTAAATAATATAATGTGGCAACTCTGGAAATCAGATTTTCCTCCCTCCCCAAGGTGTTGCTGCATATCGTTGACTTTTTTTAACAACCTCTCTGAACTAATTCCCGTAAAGTCTGTTATGAGTGTTGTGTGGCTGCCGTGACAAAGCACAAACTAGGTGGCTTGAAGCAGCAGAAACGTCTCACGGCCCTGGAGGTAGGAAGTCTGAGATCTGGGTGTGGGCAGGGCTGCGTGTGCTCCCAGCCCACAACGGAGAGTACTTCCTGCCTCTTCCAGCATCTGGCTGCCATGGGCTACCTTCCACCTTCTTGGTTTGTGGCCACGTGGCTTCAGTCTCTGCCTCTGCTGTCATGTGCCCACCCCTGTGTGTTGGGGGGTCTCTGGGGCCTCCTGTGGTCCTCCCTCGTCTTATGAGAACTCTAGTCACAATGGAGTGAGAGCCTGCCCTATTCCAGTGTGGCCTCATTTTTTTTTTTTTAATTTTATGAAAGATTTTATTTATTTTCTCGAGGGAGAGAATGCAAGCATGAGCAGGGGGAAGGGCAGAGGCAGGGGGAGAAGCAGGCTCCCTGCTGAGCAGGGAGCCCAATGTGGGGCTCGATCCCAGGAGCCTGAGATCATGACCCGATCAGAAGGCAGATGGTTACCCAACTGAGTCACCCGGGTGCCCCCAGCATGGCCTTGTTTTGACTTAAGTAATCATCACATCAATACTACACCCTGGCTTGCCACACATCTTCAGTTTCCTGTGTTCTGAAAACGCGAGTTCTGACCATTTTTGCTTCTCTTGAAGGAAGGATTTTCGGAGGTTCTTACTTCTGCCTCTTACTGGAGTCGCCCACCTTCTACGCGTAAGGCGTTCCTAGTTCTCGTTTGTGTTCCATACGCTGCGGTCACGCTGACTGTACAACATAGCGGTATTGGCGTGTTTACGGGAGGTGCACCCTCGACGGGAACAACTCGGGAGCATCTTATCAACCCCCAAAGAAACCCCTGATTTTCCAGTCCTCACTTCCCAGTTCTCCCATCGCTGCTCCCCACCCCCAGGAGGGCGCCCGTCCGCTTTGTTTCTGTACTTTGCACGGACTCATCCCGTACGTGGTTCTTGTGTCTGGCTTCTTCCACCATCGTGTTTTCAGGTCCGTCTGTCTTGTAGCGTGAATCTGTCCTGCATCCCTTCGTACAGCAGACTAGTAGTCCGTTCGGATAAGCCACCCACTTCAGTTTATTCCTGGACAGTTGGTGGCCAGTTGGGTTTCTCTGCTCTCTGGCTTCTGTGGACCTTTGTTTGCAGGTGTCTGTGTGGACATCCGCATTCACCTCTCGGGTGTATTTCTGCCGGTGGGACTGTGGGGCTCACACGGGAGCTCTGCCTCTCACGCTGTGCGGACATGCTGGGCTGTTCTGGAAGACAGCTTCCACCAGCACGTGTGCGGCTTTTCCGCATCCTGGCCAGTGCTCACTAGTCCTTGTCTTTCTTTTCTTTTAGACGAGAGCTGTCACAGGGGGTGGTATCTTACCATGGATGTGATTTGCATTTCCATGACGGTCTGGGATGTTGGAGCATCTTTTTATGTGCTTAGTGGCCACTGGTATACCTTGGGAGGAATGTTTATGCAAATCCTTGGCCCATTTTTAAATTGGGTTGTGTGTCTGGCTTTTATTTTTACTGTGTCGTCAGAGTTCTTTATGTATTCCAGGTATAAGTTTCCTTTCAGATATAGGTATTTGCATACCTCTTCTCTGATAAAAATGTTCTTCCCCTGGTACCTTTTGACTTTGTTTTTCCTGTCTGTCCACATATTCTGTGCTCTGATTACACAAAACTTTGTTTTTCCCAGACATGCTGCTTTTCATTCCTGAAAATGCGGTAAATAGCGACAGTCAGTCATTTGGCAAGCTTTCTTTGAGGCCCTTCTTTGGGCCAACCCCCCCTCCCACCCAGCAGCAGGGATGTATCCCCTGGAGCTTGTGCTCGGGTGCGGCGTCTGGGCCCCCTTTCTCATGATCAGGGTGCTGTTAAAGTTAGGTCACAGTGGGATTCCCATTTGCCCTGGAGTTTCGATCCTCGCGGACTGGGCCCAGCCTTGGGGACCGTCCATAGCCGTGTATGGAATGTGTATTAGTGAGCTCAGTGAGCCTGCAGTGTTCGTTACTGTTGTCGAGTGGGCACTTGAGAAACACTTGTTGGCTCCTTGACTGAGAGGATATGTGGTCCCTGAAGAGAGTGGGTAAACAGTGTAAGGCCAGCAAAATATTTTTACACGGAAAGGGGCTGGGTTCTTAGGATGGGAGAACCTTCTGGAGCTGTGGTCTCCACATTTTGGCCATTAAGATATTGGGGACTCTTAATATATACACACATGTACACACACACGTGTATACGCATGACATACACATGCACAACCATGCTTGTATGCACATTCAAACTTATACACGTACACACCCCATATACTTGTCTACTTAAACGCTCATGCACACACGCGTACACAGCTGCGTACATACATACCCACATACCTCACACTTGTATACACTCGCACATACACTGTGTACACGTACCACCCCCATATACACACGGTCACACTCACGAACACACACCCACGTACACACACTCAGACACGTGCACACACACGCTCACATATGCACACACATACCATGCTCCTCTACATGCTCACGCACACGTATGCGTGCACATGCATACAATACATGTTTAGGAAGTTATGTGCATGGCTGTCCTGCATCACGTGTGTTGTATTGCTGTCACAGGAGTGTCACGTTGTGGAAGGAGAGCTGGAAATACAACTAGAATTGCTTCTGTTTTCTCCTTGCACCCTGGGGTATGTGGCCGCACTGGGAGGGGGGGGCTTTCTGCTTTAGGGCACATAATACTGAGCTTGTGTGTGGAGTTTTTATGAGGCCCTTGGGGTTCTCAAGTAAGCATTAAGGCCGTAGTTTATTTTCTTTCTTTAATCTTTAAGGTCAATTAAAGGCAACTACATTTTCAATTCTAAAATGCTGAGTAATTTCACAGATGAAGATAATCTAGTCTTTAATTCTGTTTAGAATAGAAGCCATACTCTTACTTTGAAGTGTTGTTTTAAGAAGGAAATCATGAAAAATGATACAACCAAGTTGTGGAAAATTTGGAAAAAAGAGGAAAGAAATCTACATTTTGTTGCGGTTACTTATAGTAGTGTTGGCTAGAGGAGGACCCCCTCCCCCTCTGTGGGGTACCTTAACTTTACTATGTTTTTTAACCCAAAAGAACTTTGTTTCTTAAGAACTATCTGTACTAAAAACCAAACTGGCTTTTTAACATGACTTCTGTGTTTGTTAGCCTGTGATCTCTCTGCTCCGTCTCTGGCTGTTCTGTGAGGGATGGGCGGCTCCTGCCTGAGGGAAGCGGAGTGATTCTTCGACTTGTGAGATTGGGAATCTTAGCTCTAAGCAAGCATGGGGGTTTTTTGCCTGCATGGAATTGGAATGATTCTTTTGGCACACGGAATCATAGGTGTTCACTGTAGAAACGGTGGGACAGAGAAATTGTACGGCTCGCTCTTCAGTTTTAACCTCTTTCTGGGCTGTAGAGAAATGGCGGACTCTTTTCCATGAAACTCGTAAAGAGCTCACTTTTTTCCTGTCCGAGTTGAAAACTCAGTCTGACTGGTCTTGGATCCATGGGTGTATTTGCTGACTCCTGGTCGGCTGGATGCCTCACGGTGGCGACTCTTAGGAGCAGAAGCTCCATGGCCTGAATGAAGGGGGGTGACATGGCCACGGTCCGGGTGCTGAGGGAGTGCACGGTGGTGGGAGGGCCGGCCGGGGGCAACCTCCACTTTTCCGAGCAGCTGTTTTTATTGGCCATTTACCATCTCTTGTCCAGACTCGCCCACGCCCCAAGTCAGCCAGCGGAGGGACCCGCACCCCAGTCGGATGCAGATGCCAAAGGGGAACCCGCTGCTGCTGTCCTGCACCCTGCAGGAGCTGCTGGCCAGGGACACTGTGCAGGTGGAGCTCATTCCTGGGAAGAAGGGCCTCTTCCTGAAGCATGTGGAATACGAGGTCTCCAGCCAGGTGAGGGGTAGGCGGCGTGTGCCCGCTGGGAGGGGAGGCGTGGGGGGGGATGGGCCGCGAGGGAGTCTGTGTGTTGGTCTTAGAGGGAAGAGCCGACACCGGGCATGGAGAGCCAAGCCGCCTGACAGATGTTTGTACAGCTGGGGAGTCCCCGTGTCTCCGTCTGGCTCAGCCACACCCCCAGCTCGCTCATCCTGCCCTCCCTGGCCCTGTGTCTGGGAAGCTGCTTGGAGGAGCACCTCTGGTGCGCGGGGCACAGGCTGGCCTGACTCCATCCTTGAGGGTGGAGTGTGGGCTCCGGGTCATGTCTGGAGGGCAGGGTTGCCATGCATCTTATCCCCACTGGGGGCGCTGCCTGTGCTCTTAGGGGCCCCCGATACCGGAGTCAGGGAGGTGCTGGGCACCTGGCCGCGTTTCTGTGCGGTGACGGGATGGCATCCGCAGTGCTAACTAACTTTCTTTCTCTCTTTCTTTCTTTCTTTTAAAGATTTTATTTATTTATTTACCAGAGAGTGAGAGAGAGCAGGAGTGAACAGCAGGCAGAGAGAGAAACGGGTTCCTTGCTGAGCAGGGAGCCCAACGCAGGACTCAATCCCAGAACCCTGGGATCATGACCTGAGCTGAAGGCAGACGCTCAACCGACTGAACCCCCCAGGCTTCCCTGCATTCTCTTTCTATATCCTGGTGCTGTTAGATCAGATACTGGGGTAGTTTTTGTTCAGAAACCGAGGATTAAGTCATCGATGAGCTGACAGCATCGTTGGGCTTGTGGAGTCCCACTGTGTTAGCGGGGGACGCACCAGGACAGGTTGAGTGGGGCTGTGCTGGCATGACAGCGTTGGGCCATTGTGAGGCTTCGGTTGGAAGGGTCCGTGTCATCCCAGGGAGGAAACACGTTTTCCAAACCGAATGGCCGTGTGTGTGTGCTGTGGGAGTCTGCAGTCACAGGGTTTGTGTGTCAAGATGTTTTCAAGCTACAGAGGCTGAAGTCTGTGAATCAGCTTTGTTCTAGGGTGCGTGTGGGTGCTGCTCCCCTGGGCGCGGGCACATCTCCTCCCTCTGGGCCTTGTTGTTGCAGGTGCGGTAGCTCTGGGTGTTGGGGGCTACCCTCCCCTGTGTGGTGCCAGCAGCTGGCCCTTTCCTGTTCTTTCAGGTGCCTGTTCTTTCAGGAAGTCTGTTGTCCCATGATGCACATTTTCTCAAGGAGGCAGCTGTGTGCGGGCCACCTCCTGAGACATGCTGTTCTGGCAGGGGCGGGGCCACGCGTTCTGTCCTGACCCTGCTCCTCCACGGGCTGCCCCGTGATCCGTGTCCCGCAGACAGGGCATCTGTCACAGTCTGCCCCACATGGACATGTCGTCGTCACCCAGAGACCACAGTTGGTGCCATGGTCCCTCTGGGTGGGTGTGCATTCTGTGGGTCTGGACGCTGATGACCGGTGTTACCCGATGGTGTCCCCCAGTGTTCACAGCCCTGAAAGTCCTTGTGTCCCACCGTCTATCCCTCTGCCCTGAAGCCCTGGTGGCTGGCCCTCCCCTCCTGTGCACAGCTCTGATTCCCTGGAGCACCCAGCCATCGGGATCAGACAGGCGTCTGTTGCTGAGCCGCGTCACTTACAAGCAAGACGGCCTGCAGACCGCGGCTTGTGTGTGTGTGTCATGTGTGCTCTGACGTGGAGCCGGGGTGGGCTCCTCTGCTGCGCGGGGGCTGGCTGTCACAGAGCCCGCGGGTCTGTCCGGGATGGGACGTCTGCGTGTCCGGCCTTCCTGGGCAGTGTCTGGTCTTCTGTGACAGCCAGCACTCTCCCAGGAGGCTGTCGTGCCTGTCGCACCTGCACCGTGTGACCCTGTATGGGAGGGTGCCTCCAGGACGAAGTGAAGAAGGCGTTGTTTGCATGTGCTGCCTTGTAAGGGTGGGGGCGGGGCGGCTGTGCTGGGGCAGACCCCTGTGAAAAGTGTGCAGTCCTCAGGAGAGCCCGGTCATGGGTAGGTGGGCAGAGTGATCACTCCGGGCAATGTTGGCAGTTGTGTGAGCATTGCCAGGGGGATGGGGCATGTCCTCAGTAGAGTCTGGTGAGATTCGGGGTGGGCGGTATTGAGCCACGGCGCTCCCGTGGCTCTGGTTGGTGGCGGGGGCGGGGGCGCACGGGGGCGGTTTCTGGTGTCCAGTCCAAGCACAGAGCCCTGGTCTTGCAGCGCTTCAAGTCCTCCGTGTACAGACGGTACAACGACTTCGTGGTTTTCCATGAGATGCTGCTGCAGAAGTTCCCCTACCGCATGGTGCCGGCCCTGCCGCCCAAGAGAGTGCTGGGAGGTAAGGCTGGGGTGCCAGGAAGGCCGGTGTGCTGGAGGCCAGGGTGCCGGGAAGGCTGGGGTGCCACACGTCGGGGTGCTGGAGGCCAGGGTGCCGGGAAGGCCGGTGCAGGCCAGCGGGCAGGTGCAACCGAGCCCATCTTGCCAGTCGGCGGTCTGCATGGTGGGGAGCACTGTGGGTGCGGACAGCAGGGCCCCTGCTGCTCCTGGAGGCTTTCCCTACTGGGGTGTGTTTGTGGGGGGCTGGGACGGGGCGACTGCCCAGCCCGTTGCTGAGCCCGTGCTCTCTGCCTGCAGCCGACCGGGAGTTCATCGAGGCCCGGCGGAGGGCGCTGAGGCGCTTCATCAACCTGGTGGCTCGGCACCCTCCGTTCTCCGAGGACGTGGCCCTCAGGCTGTTCCTGTCCTTTAGTGGTCCCGTGAGTACTTTGCTGTCCCGGGTGGGGCCTGAGCTTCCCGACACTCAGTTTGCTTGTCTTGCTGTCCTCGCGTGGGTGCCCTGACGGAGTCCGGCACACGTGACGGCCCCGAGTGAGATTTCCTTTCTTCCCGGATAACGGGAAGGTGGGGTCAGGAGGCATCCGTGGCTTTGGCCTGGCAGGATTTGGAGATTAGGAGCGCCATCACTGTGGGCGCTGAGGCTCGTTCACTGAAGGCTTTGCTTGGGAGGGTCACGGAAGTGCTGGAGACCCCAGGTTGCAATGAGTCTCAGTGTCCCAGAAAGCAAATAAGGCCACTTTGATGACATGCCATTGGAAGACTGAGCTGAGTCCTTTTCACAGAGCTGCAGGATAGACCACGTCCTGGGAGACCGTCTCCACATGGATGTTAATTTCTGTTAGAAACCAAGCAGCTGTGTCTGTCAGCTGTTGTGCAGCGTTTCTTAGCCTTGGGAAGCAAGGCAGAGCCCTTCCTTCCAGTTGGGGAGGAAGTCCCTGCCTTGCCCCAAGAGCAGCCTGCTCACTGGCTGGGGTTGGAGTAGGGGTGGTGGAGGGGCTCCAGCAAGGTCGCTGTACCGGGGGCGTAAGCGGGGGCATCTTCTGTCCGAGGGAACCCCTTCTTGCCCCTTCTTGCGTACTTTCACAGTATAGAAAGCTGCCAGGAGCAGCCCACGGCCCTACTGTCCGCAACCCCTTCTGGGAGGGGCTCAGTCCCACCCTTTCCCACTGGGGAAAGGTGCTGGACACAGGTGAGGAGCCGCAGAGGCAGACATACCCCATGAGACAGAGGGGCCTGGGACCTCCTTGAGAAGGCTTTCCTGCTGCTTGCCTAGGGGTACCTGTCACCACCGCCCCTTTTCTGGGACCTGAAGCAGACATTCCGTGAATGCTTGCTGTGACCGTCTGCTCTTGAGCTGAGTGTGGGCCTTGGAACCCCGGGCAGACAGGTTCTTTTCACGCAGGAATCTTTACTGTCAGAGAGGAATGTGGGGGGACATGGGAGCCACATGCACTGGCCACAGAGCCAGGCGGCATCCCTGTGCTGGGGACGTGAGGCCCCTCTGACCCCTTCCTCGCACAGATAGGGTGTTCTAAGAGCTCCCTGACTCCATTTCTTCTGGTAAAATGAGAGATTAGGACAGATGATCCTCCAGGCTTCTCTGAAATTCTAAAATTCCCTGACCCGTAAAAAGCTGCAGATGAGGCTTTCTGCTGTATTTCCCATGGCTCTTTGTGGGTCCTGATCTTAGCCGTGGCTTTGCTGAGGAGGCCTGTGTGTTGCCCATCAGCCCTCCCAGGACTCTGTGGGGCTGCGTCCTGTGGGTCTCTCCGAAGGAAGGAGACCTCAGCTCTCGTCTCTGTGTACTATGTGGCGGGACCTACCAGGACCCAGGGGTCATCCCTGCTCTGCAAATGGGAGTTCCTGTGGTTCTGGAGAGAGAGCTCCCCTCTGGAGCCAGAGGTTTCGTGGTGCTGGTGTGGTTACGCCAGGCTTTCCTGTCTATGGAAGGCCACTTAAAGGTTAAGGTCAATGGGAAGAAATCTGGGAAGATAGTGACGCGATCTTTTGGGGATGCCTATGTAACAGCCCTCTTGCAGAGGGCCTGTGTCCTGCCTCCTGCTGGCCTCCTTGGTCTCACACAGACTGTTCTGCCGCTGGTAGATGTGGGCTGTTTCTGTTTTCCTTTGCAGGATGTGCAGAACAAGTTAAAGGAATCAGCTCAGTGTGTTGGAGATGAATTCATGAACTGTAAGCTGGCTCCCCGGGCCAAGGTACTTCTCTCGTCATGATGTGCACCCTCCAGTCCTGGCAGTGACCACTTGACTCGGTCATGCTCTCTTGCTTTCACCACATGCCGGGGATGGTGCTGAGGCCCGCCGCCAGGTTTTCTCATCGACTGTCCTTTCACCTGCTCCAATGCACAGCACGTGACCTGCCCATTTCACAGATGGGGAGATGGCCCGGAGAGGCTGCCAGGATCCCAGATCCACGTAGCAGCCGACCCGGATGGGGCTGAATGCAGTCTGGCCTCAGAGCCCCCCAGCTCTCCTGCCACTTCGAGGCTTTTTTGTGATCCAGGTGGACTCCTGCCGGGTCACCAGGCTCTCAGATTTCAGGGGGCGTGGGATTGTTGCATTGGTTTATTGTAAAATTTGGCAAATCTGTTTTGTCTCTAAAAAGAATTAAGGTGGTTACTGGGTAGCTTTTTCCTTTTCCTTCTTAAACTGCTTCTCCATGCGGAAATATGGACTCTTATCTTTGTTTCATTTCCTAAGGTTTCTGTTTTCTAAGCATTACGGAGTTAACATTAGTTAACGCTAATGGGTAGTTAACAGTAAAGCTGGTAAAAAGCTCCCCTTGAGGGAAAAGTGTCGCCCCTAGAGTCAGGATTCATTCACGTCACTTCGAGCTTGAAGGTTCTCATTGGAGCACATTCTGGCAGGATCAGATCCGCTTTCTGGCAGATCTGGCAGGTTGGATCCGCTTTTGGTGGACGCTAGTATTGCCATCTCCTGGGGTCACTCAGCTTGGTGTTTGTGGTGTATGCATGATGATGCTTTCTGTTTCTTTTTTGGACAACGAGGGAGGCCCTAGGAGGCCCCCACATGGCCTGACGTCTGGGCTGACGAGCTGCTCTGTTGGAGGGCTTTGTCTCCATCCTGAAGGGCGTCGTCTCCAGAAGGCCCCTCACAGCCTGTAATCCACAGCCTTGCTGTCCTCCCTGCCAGGACTTCCTCCCGGCCGACATCCAGACTCAGTTTGCCGTCAGCCGGGAACTCATTCGGAACATCTACAACAGCTTCCACAAACTTCGAGATCGGGCCGAGCGGATTGCGTCCAGGGCCATCGACAATGCTGCTGACCTTCTCATATTCGGGAAGGAGCTGAGGCAGGTGCCCCACTCAGTTCTGCAGGGCAGTCGGGGGAGGGATCTGCAGCGCACGGGGCAGAAGGTGTTTTACCATAGCCACACAGGTTCTGACCTGTTTCACTTTTAGAAGGTAAAGGAGAGGGTTGGGGAAATGGATCATGGAATTTAGCAGAAAAAAAAATGGGGGAATTTAGGCAGGGAAGCGTGGATCCCTGAACACACAAGCCTGTGCTATGTAGGTGACACGGTGTCTTCCCTGCTGTCAGGACTAGACCAGAAAAGGACGCCAGACTGTTCGTGCTCCTCTGGGTGGAGGGGTGGTGGGACAGGCAGCCGGGACCGCACCCTCCTCCTCAGTCTACACATGTCCGCCTCCCAAACCCTCGTGTGCACACCTGTCCCCTGGGCCGGGAGTGAGGGGGGCCTCGCTGACCAGGACTGGTTCAGGAGGCTTGGGGGTGGGGGCGGCTGAGGTCCTGCCTTTCTGGCAGATGCTCAGGTGGCCCTGGGGACCCCTTTTTGTGGAGTAGAGGGTGCCCTGGGATGACACGTCAGGCTGGATGGCCAGCTCGGCTCCCAGTCCTTGAGTGTCTTGTCTCCTCTGTTTCCTGTTCCCTTAGTGCTTTGGGGTCTGACACGACCCCACTGCCCTCCTGGGCCTCTCTGAACAGCAGCACGTGGGGGTCCCTTAAACAGGCGCTGAAAGGCCTGTCCGTGGAATTTGCCCTGCTTGCTGACAAAGCTGCCCAGCAGGTGAGTGAACTTGTTCTCCTTGGCACCTGTTCCAACAGGCCATGCCTTGGGAATGGACGCCGGCATGGCTTCCTATGTAGACTTCGTCGTCCTGAGTCCGGAGCGAGTGGGTGCTGGTCTCGGTTGGAACCGCACGTCACCACCTGTTCTGAGGGCCTCCCCGTGAGCCCTTGACACTCTGAAGAGGGTTGCCCGTGACAAAGACGGACTGGGTTCTGGCCCTTTGAGAGTTGACTTTGCTGAGATGAGAAGCTGTAAGATGTCCTTGAAAACATAATCTAGGACTTCCCCGGATGCTTCTGGGTGGACCAGGTGGTTCCCACTTGGCTGTGCTAGTCAGCAAGTACTCGGTTCCTCAATAACTTACAAGGACAGTTAGTAAGCTCTAGTAGCCCAAGAGAGCCCACCTGTGTTCACCCTAGAGACCCAGTTAGCCTCCGGAAATGCTTCCGCCACATGCGCAGGGGCCATGTGGTCCTCGGGGATCGATGCCAAGGTCTGGAGGTTACTGACAGGCTCATCTGCATGCGTTTATGCTGTAAAACTGCTACGTGACTCTGAGGGTGAGCGTTGGCAGCCTGGTTCTTGGGGAGATGGACTTTAGGCTGGTAGTAGATGGTTTCAAATAGATGAAAACTGTGTACTTGTGAAGGGCCTTGCTGCCTGTGTGACGCTTGAAGCTCCTTAGTAGCAGGCCAGAGGACACAGGGACAGCAGCAGACCCTCCGACCGTGAAGCTGGGTGATTTTCACCTCACCTTGAGGTGAGGCCCTCGGGCCCAGGATGTCTCTGAGTGCCGAAAAGGAGATTTGATCTCATTGTTGGTATGGAAAGTCCTGGGTTTTCTTTGTGGTTCTGGCGCCTGTGTGTTCCCGTTAGAAACTGAGCGCAGGGTGTTGTTGGCATTTCTCAGAATTGGCGCTGGGCCCGGTCCCTGTCCAGGCCTGCCAGGGGCCCACGTGTGCACCGCAGGGAGGACCGGTGCCGTGCTGTTGGAGGTGCGGCTGTGGAGAGAGGCGGCCTGCTCCGCGCTCAGCCACTGTCCTGTGCTGTGCCTGTGCTGGGGTTCCGTTGCTCCCTGGGCCTGTTTCCCTGTCTGGGCGATGCAAGGGGTGGAGGAGGTCATTCAGACACTTTTTATGGAGCCGGCTGGACTTTACTCAAAGCTCACTTTAAAATCTAAAGTGGAAGCTGTCCTGGTTGCAAGGACCTAGGTCCTGGGCCCACACAGTTCCCAGTTCCATGGGTAGCCTCATGCAGGGGTGGGGGAACGCGTAGGGGTGTGCCGTGAATCCCCGGGCATCACGCGGAACAGAAGCTTCTCTAACTCTGTCATCTCCCGTGTTTTCCAGCTGAGATTTAGATGCTGTGTTTCTGCCTTTGAAGAGGGAGAGAGGGTTCAGGCTTCTGATGTGGTTCAAGTTCATAGTTTGAACCTCTCCCCCCCCCCCCCGCCCCCAAGCTCTGAGATTCTCTGATAGCTCTCGGATGCTGCTTTGAAATGTGATGTCTGAGGAAGCGCCACTTCCCGACTATTCCTTGTGGTTTTCATGTTGGAGTGAAATTAATAGTTTTAATGTGAAACTGGATCAAACGACCGTCAGGACTTTCACCCAGCACGGCTCAGGTTCTGTTCACTCTTGCTGCACAAGGATGGACATCCGAGGGCTGGTTTTCCTAACTCTGTTTCCACATACCCTGGTTTTATTCTTCCCAGACCTGTTAGGGGCCCCAGGTTGCTGTATCCCAGTGGGACAATGGAGACTCCCAGTGGGCTGTATTTTTCCACACTGATGGGATGGTGGTTTGGGGTCTTGTGTGGCGTTGGACGAGAACTGGGACCTAGCCAGTGACGTGAGCAGGAATGGCCCCTCAGCTGCTAGGCCGGGGAACCTCCATCCTCCTGTGCCCCTCCACCCAGTCAGGAGGGAGCAAGGTGCCTGTGGACCTCTGGTGTTTTCCTTTCTGAGTTTGAAAAACCTGGAACATGCCTGTTATTTTCCTGTGACCTTATTGGCTAGTCTTGGCTTTAGGTGTGGGAATGAGTGGCCTGGAACCTCTGAGCTCAGCAGGTGTGAGTCCTGGTTCCCCTGGTGGCAGAACCTGGGCAGGAGCCCCTGGCTCCCAGGGCAGTGCTTGTAACCTGGTCAGACTTATCCTCATTTTCCCCATTCTCTGTCTTTTGGCTCTACCCTCTACACATACGGTCTGATGTGTGGTTTCTGAGATGAGCTTTTCATGCCATTGCTGGAGCCCTAGAGGTTGTGAAAGGGACTCATTTCTCTGAGGAGCCCACATTGTACCTGGGAGAGGTGAGGTGCTCACCATACACCTGAGAGAGGCACTTGGTGAATGCCTAGGAGGTGTTCAGCAAAACACCCAGGCAAGGTGCTCAGCAAACACCCGGGTGAGGTGCTTGGCAAGTGCTGGTGGCTGAGGGCCATGAGCTGTGCTAGAGGCCTTTAGGACATGTGGCTGTGAGCACAGTGTTAGTATGGAGGGTTCCCAGGAAGCCAATCCAGCCCCAACTGTACTTGGCTTTGGCACGCTGGGAGGAGTGGTATCAAACAGTGAGCACAAGTGGGCAGATGATCTTGGGAACTGAGGCCGTAGTTTTCATCCAGCTGCAGGGTTCTGTGGCTTCCCTGCCTTGTGTTGGGGGGCCGTCATGTGGGAAGGGGGCTCTTCTGCAGAGCTGGTTGGTGGCTGCTGGGGGTGGGGAGAGCCAGCTCAGGCCTACGGATGGGTCTGTGGGTCCTGTGGTGCTCGGTGTGGTCACCCACCCTTGTTTTCTAGGGCAAACAGGAAGAGAATGACGTGGTGGAGAAATTGAACCTCTTCTTGGATTTGCTCCAGTCATATAAAGTGAGTCTGGCTGCTCCTTGGGCAAAGACAGAGCTTTTGAGAAGGATCCATGGTCTCTCATGGGTGTGACTCCTGAGGATGAAGGGCCGCGAACCCAGGGCTGTGGAGGGAGGATGGGCCGTAGGCAGTCTGGCCAGTGTTATTGCCCCTTGATGGGTTCTGCAGGTGCTCTGGCCCCCGCAGGTGTGCAGATGGTCCTCTGGCTTCCCTTGGTCTGAGAGTGGCGGCTGTGTGTGCACACATGCGTGTGAGCATATATGTATGCCTGTGTATGTTTGGATGTATCCACATGCATGAGCTGTGTGTGTGTGCATATATATGTGTGTGTATTTGTGTGTGTATGAGGGTGTGCACGAGTGTGTATGTGTGTGCATGTGTGAACATGTGTATATATTTGTGTTTATATATGAGTGTGTATAGGTGTGAGTGTGGGTATGTACGTGTGCACATGCGTATGCATGAGCGTATATGCATGCATGTGACCGTGTGCACGTGTGCGTATATGTATGCATCTGTGCGCACACGTGCATGTGTATGAGCACGTGTGCACCTGGGGATACACACACGTCCATGCACACACGTGCCTATGCATGTGCATGTGACTGCGCAGGCACATGTGTACATGTAGGCATGTGAGCATGTGTGCTTGCAGGCGCGTGTGTGTGTGTGACTGTCGTAGCTCCCACCATATAACTGAGGGGCTGGTCTGGTGCTGAGGGAGCTTGTCTCTTCCTGGGGTAGAGGTTCTGGGCAGTCCGACTCTGGCTCCATGCAGAGCTGGCTTCCGGACCGGGGTGGCGTTGGTGATGGGCTGGAGTGTCTGTGAAGCAGAGAATCCTTCGTGCTGAGCTCAAGGAGAGGGGGCCCAGTACTTTGAGGAAGGTTCCAGAAGGGATCTCTTCGTTAAGATGGATGGTAGTCAGATCACCTTGAGATCACAGTACTGTCATTCTGTGGCCAGTGTTTCCCACAGGATTCCTGACTGGGGCTATTTCAGGGCCCCTGGGAAATGCCAGTGTATCTTTTGGAGACGGGTCTTTCTGTTGCTGGAGGGACATGGGCTTCCTGCCACTGGGCAGTGGGAAAGTCGGCGGTCCACCTTCCATTGTCCCCGTCCATCCTCTCCTGTGGACAGGACCTTTTCTTGTGGGTTTTTAGTTTGTGGTACTGATGTGCGCTGCAGCCCCTCCTGGTTCGACCCGGGCCTGTCACCCGAGCAGCTCTGTTCCATGAACACTTGCTGAGCGTGGAGCAAGTGGGTGCGGTGTGAGTGGTTTCCGAAGAGGAAGGGGCTCATGCATGAACAGCGCGGACTTTGGAGCGTGTGTCTCCTCCTGTAGTTCCCCTTTCCATGCTGCCTCCCATGGAGGGAGGGTGGCTCCAGGGCCCTTCTGGCCGGTGGTTGAGCGCAGCTGCCCCTCCCCCCAGGACCTGTGCGAACGGCACGAGAAGGGTGTGCTGCATAAGCACCAGCGTGCCCTGCACAAGTACAGCCTGATGAAGAGGCAGATGCTGAGCGCTGCTGTGCAGAGCCGTGAGCCCGAGTCGGTGGAGCAGCTGGAGTCCCGCATCGTCGAGGTGGTTCTCCCATGGGGGATGGGGTGGCCTGTGAGCAGGCCTGACGGGGCCGCTGCATGCGCGGCCTGGCTGGACCCTGGAGTGGTACTTTGGGGCCTGGCTTTGGGCTTCCAGAGTGCTGCCGCCTGGGGCTGCCATAGCCGGCAATGTAGCCAGGGGGCGCTGTGGTGGGCAGGTGGCCCTGCAGTGTGCCGAGCAGTGCCTCCAGGATGCCTGGTTGGGGCACGTGGCTTGGAGTTTGCCTCGGTGGTGGTGCTGCGGGGAAGGGGTGGTGGCCGCGGGCTCGGGCTCAGGGGGGTTGGCGGCATGTTGGTGCGACGCTGCTCGCGTCCGCGGGGCCGGGAGCAAGGGTGGCTCGTGTGTGCAGCAGGAGAACGCCATCCAGACCATGGAGCTGCGGAGCTACTTCTCCCTGTACTGCCTGCACCAGGAGACGCAGCTGGTCCACGCGTACCTGCCCCTCACCTCCCACATCCTCGGGGCCTTTGTCAACTCGCAGATCCAAGGGCACAAGGAGGTGGGTCTCCCTGCGCCTGCTTGGGCTCTGCCTGGGAGCCTGGCATTTGTGCAGCTGGCCTCGCGAACTGCCAGGGAAGGGCCGCGAGCTGGGGAGCACGGGACCTGGAAACCGGTCTGGTCACAGCTGCTGTCTTACACGTACCCTGAACAGCAGTGGCAGAATTGTCCCCTTGATTCGTGGGGTTGGGGGGGTGCAGCATGAGACCATGAAGGAAGCAGCATTCCTCCTCTCCTGGAGGAATTTTGGAGTCGGGTAAAGCACAGTGTCTCCAGAATTGAGAGAAGAGATGGGACGCATCAGGCAGAGAGGACACGGGGTTGGTACAGACCCCGGTTCACGTCCTCTGGGTGGCGGCTCCTGAATTGCTTGGAACAGGTGCTCTGCTTGTCTGGAGACTTGGCAAGGTCTGTGGCTCCCTGCCTGGCGCCATGACTCGGCTGTGCCATTTACCCTCTGTGGCAAGTTTCCATTTCCAAAATATGTGCTGTGCGCCTCCAAGATCGGCGTGGGATGCGGAGGGCAATGGGCTGCAAGCGTCTGGGACTGCTGTGTCCCTGTCCCTGGGCTAGGGTCCTGATGCAGCGGCCAGAGAGGAAGGGGCTTGTCCCCTCTGGGGGAGGCCCGCACAGGGGAGTGGGCTCCGAGCCTCCCTCCTCCCTGGGCTGCTGGTCGCCACTCCTCAACCTGGATACCGGAGTGTGAGCTGGTGGCTGCTGCACATCTGACCCACACCCGCGTTCGTGTGTTCCTCTGGTGGAGCCCTCATGTGCGACCCGCCACCCTGAGGGGCCGGTGCTGGCAGAGTGGTCAAGGTGGCAGGCCCCACCTTCTGGCCCGCGTGCAGGGCGCGTGGTTCCCTCTGGTTTCGGCGTCCCTAGTGGAGGAAGGGGTGGAGATGGCGAGGGAAGGGCCAGTGGCCCCCTGGTCTGGCGGTGCTGGGGGAGGTGGCACAGGGCACCACATGGGCCATGTTGGGGCTCCTCGGAGGTTTTACAGAGGGCCGTCTGCTCGTGGCCTTTCTCATCCCGCTGTGCTCCCTCTCGTTCTCCAGATGAGCAAGGTGTGGAACGACTTGCAGCCCAAGCTCAGCTGCCTCTTCGCGGGACCCAGCAGCTCCTTGCTCCCGCCGGGGCCCCCGCAGGACGGCAGGTCTTCTCACTAGTGCCAGAGGCCTGGGGCGGGAGCTCCGGCAGCCTCACTAAAACCTCTTTCCAAACGGTGTGTCCCTCTTTAATTCCCTTCAGACAGCGGCTGCCCCCGCCCACCACAGGGTCCCCGGTGTTGGGCTGATGTCCGGGCCGGGTGGGGGTGGGGTTGGAAGGTAGGGCGGAGGCCACGGGGATCTGCTCAACTGCCCCTGATCCCCTCCCCCACGCCCCCGCCTGCCACACTGTGCCTGTGAGTCTGGCTGGGAGAAGCGGAGGGTCCCTGAAATGGTTTTCTCTGATCCCCAGAGGGCAGGGCGGCAGGATAGTTTCCATGTGGCAGGTGCTGGGGGGCCATGTGCAGGGTCCCCCAGGGGCTTAGAGCAGTCGGGAGGGTCTGGATGAGCTGGCCCCACAGAGGGCAGGACTGTCCCTATGTCGGACGAAAGGTGGCTGTACCGGGCACATCCCTGGAGGCCAGCAGGACGTCTTGGGAAGGTGTGGGCATGGCAGTGTGAGTGTGTGTGGGGTGGGGACTTGGGGGGCGCTGGGCGCACAGGCGGTGTTGCTTTCCAAGAGACAAGCCTGGGGGAGTGCTGTGGGGGCCACGGCTTAGTCTCTGGGGAAAGTGTCCTGTGTCCCTACCTGCGTGCACCTCATTCTCTAACCCGTGTGTGCTCAGCGGTCTGCAATGTTGGAGACAAGGTGAACTGTTGCTTCTGTTTGTCCCAGTGCAGCAATGGCTCTGTTCTCTCGGCTACCTGGATGCCCCCCTCTTTGAAGACCGCACCTTAAGCCTGGAGGCTGGAAGGGCACAGGAAGGCCGACGGGTGGGGGCAGCGTCCTAGCTGGGCTCGGCAGGAGGGCGCCATGTTGCCATGGCCGACCTGCTTTAAACTGACCTCATTTGCTATGGGCGTTCAGACCCCTGCTTCTAGCCTCCCTCTGCACACACAGGCCCAGAGGGCATCTGTTCAGGAGTCTGGGGTTCCTGTGTGTCGAGGTCCTGGGTGTTTCCTGTTTAGAATCCCTTCTGTGTCCGCAGGCAGGGCGCGTCCTCCAATGTCTGCAGCCCTCTGAGCTCACTGCCCTTGGTCCCGAGCGGGCTGGGGGTTCTGACCGCACGGCAGGATTCCTGAGATTCACGCCTTCTGGGGGTGCGTGCAGACGTGCAGGGCTTCTCTTGGGTCTCGTCTGCCTGTGTGTCTGCACACGGCATGGGGACCGAGGGTGACTTCTGTACCCGCAGGCAGGTGGGCTTCCCCGAGGGCACTGTGCACACCGCAGTCTGGGGGACCGTGTCCTTTTGGTCTGGCCGGACAACTGTGTCAGGTGGGGACTCGGGCCCACCCCACGCATGGGTTCTGCCTGTGCCGGCAGAGCAGCTGTGGGGGCGTGGGGGGTGGTGGTGGTAAGGCAGTTGTGCCCCACCCAGCCCGTGGCCTTGTGAGGGTGGCTTGTGCCTTCCTGCGCTCACAGGGAGCAGGGCAGTGTGACTGCAGAGCCCAGCACGTCAGGAGCTGCTTTGGTTACTGGCCTGTTTCTGAGTGGTGCTTGTGTTCTGACCCCCGCTGTAGAAACGGGTTCTCGGGTGCTGTGAATGGGTCTGTGCGGTCCTGAGGGCTGCTCCCACGGCCTCGTGTACACTTGAGCCATAAAGCAGGAGCCTTAAGTCTCCTGTTCTGTCCCTGCCAGCTGCTGCTCACCCGCATGTGCCCTGGCCGTGGCTGGTGAGGGACGGGCCACCCCAGGACCATGGAGACACCCTGAGCAGGCCTTGCCTCACACGCGCTGGGCAGCAGCATGAAGGCGGGAGGGCCAGTGTAGGGAGGGCCTCCTCACCCAGGTCCGAGGAGATTTCCAGCTCTAGAGCCTTGCAGTGTGCTTTCTGAAGAGGACTTGCGGATGACTCTGTGTTCCTGCCGTGGAAGCTGGGAGCCACTCTGGCCTGCTGCTCTTGGCTGGAGGGGCGTTTCTGGCCCAACCCCTCCCTCCCCCAGGTCCTGCAGGGAGGTCAACAGATAAGACTTGCTGCGGGTGGGGTGGGGGAGTCATGTCCTCCTGGTGCCCTCAGCTGGGGACAGTAGAGGCCACCTTTAGTCCTGCACACATCCTCCATGTGCCCCTGTGCCTGGGCTGCGGGCCTGGGTTGTTCTGCTCAGTGATGTCCTGGGAGGCCTAGGCTGCCCAGGAGAGTGGGATGGCCCTGTCTTCCATGGCCTGCACAGTCCAATGGTACCGGCCAGAGCCCTGCTCTGCACTCTGGCAAGGCTGGAGTGGAACTCCGCCCAGGACCTTCCAGCCTGGACCTCGCTCACTTGCTGTGGCCGGCAGATGTGTGGCAGGAGCAGAAGACGCAGGCTCTGATGTGGGTGCGCGTAGGGCTGCACGGACTGGTGCTGGGCTGCTTCTGTACCCCCTCGGGGATGCAGTTTGCTGTGCGGAGCACTTTATGAGGCTGTGGGGGTCAGTGATTACTACACCCAGTAAACTGGAATTGTTCACAAATGGCCTACATTCCAAGATTTTTATGTAAGCACGAACAACCATTAAACCTGTTTATGACAGTTGGTAAGTTGTACATTCTCTGCCTCCCCACTTCCTGGTGGTCAGAGATGTGGACAGCCTCTGGTGAATTAGACCAGGGTTTTAGCCCTGGGCCATGACTGCCTCAGTTTCCCCATGACGTCAGGGTGGTGAGTAAGGAGGATACAGCTTCTCGCCCACACGGGTCCCAACAAGAACCTGTGGCATGGCACAAGGCAGCGCCCAGCCCTCCAGCTGTCCCCTCTGCCCCAGGCTGTGGTCACGGCCAGCCATCTGGCAGCTTCCCGAGGACGGACCTGGGTTGGCTGTACCCGGGTCTGCAAGGAGTGTGGAAAAGGCAAAGGGTCTTTATTTTCACCTCCGCCCACCTCACCTCACCCCTGCCTTGGGGCTCAGTGAGCTGGCCATGAGAGTCTTGAAGCCCGCAGGGGTCAGGGTTCTCCTGCTTTTACAGCTTATCCACCTCGCGGAGCGTGTAGTCCAGGATGGTGTTGGGACCCTGGAACTTGAAGTACCCCTGGAATTTCTTCTTCTGAAGCAGAAGGGGAAACCAGTAGCTGTCATCGGGCCACATGTCCGCAAAGGGGATCTGGTCTAGCTGGAACCACTGAGGGCGCATTTCTGTAGCGGGTGGAAAGGAGAGAGTGTGCATGTTCCACCTGGGCTGCAATCGCAACGTCAGTGAGCGATCCCCACGCACATCTGTGTGAGGAACTGGACGTGCTCTGGGGTTCAGTCCTCCCAGCTGTGTCACTGTGTGGAAGAGGAACAGGGCTTAGAGCTGGGTGCTGGCGCAGCGCCTGCCTCCCGGGACCTGGACCTGGCTTCCCCTTGCCCACTGGGGTAGGGAGAAGGGACAGACTCCCACACTCACCGTCGCTCTCCATGGGCGTCCCCTGGACACTCTCTGTGCAGAAAATGTGCACATCCATCAGCTCAGGCTCACCCACGAACTCAAACACGATGTGGCCCACCTTGTGAAGCGTGTTCACAGTCAGACCGCTCTCCTCCTGTAGCTCCCTGCAGGCGGGGTGGGCAGCTGTTACAGCGAGGCGCTGGGGGGATGTGGAGGAGCAGGGGGGCGGTGGGGGGTGTGTGTGTGTGCGACCGGAACGTGCGAGCACTTCCTGACCTGGCAGGACTTGACAGTTAATCTGGGGACTGTTTAAATCCTGATTCTGTTTAGAGGTTCTGGGTCAGGGTGGACAGGCCAACCCAGTTCAACAGCCTGCAAGCCACGGGTTAGCCCAGGCCCGGCCGAGCTCAGCTGCTTGGGGGTCATGGGGGGGCGGGCGGCAGAACTGGGACCCTCCCACCCTGTCCAGCTCCTGCTGTTCCTGTGGGCTGGCAACAGCCACGCCGATGCTCTCTGCAGGCCGCAGGCTCCAGGCACCTGGGCCCGGAAACCGAAGATTCCCTCTGCTCATACCCATGCTCAGAAAGCACAGGATCACACACAGGTTTCCGTGGTCTCCCAAGGAGGCACCCCAACCCTCCAGCTGGCTCCCCTGCAGCTGATCACAGGGGACCCACTCCCCACCCCAGCACAGGTGTGAGGCACAACAGCAGAACCAGGGTGCCCCTGAATGTTCTGATGCTGGCCGGTTTCACAGTATCCCCTGACCACATGTTCGCGGCAGACAACGTGGCCAGCACCCCTGGACACCTCCCCAGAAGGAGCACTTGTGACCAGTTCTGTGTCCTCTCTGGGCTGTCTTCCTCATGCATGCCTTTACATGCCTGCAGACACGATGCATGTGCTCGTACCCGCGGATTTCACGCGGGAGCACAGCAGCCCCCACACCTCCCGAAGCTTGGCCAGTTTCCCAACCAGTGCGGGTCACTAGATGGTAACAGTGGCCGGCTGACTGGTTACAAGGCCCCGGCGAGGAGTTGCTTTGCGTGCACGCCTTGAACCGCTCATGTCTGCCCAGCTAGTGGCTCTGCTGCCTCCTCCACTCGTGGTCCAGCAGCCAGCGCGTTCTGGAAGCTCCATGCTTGGGACTTGTGGGCTCTCCAGGCTGTGGCAGCAGTGGGGCTCCGTCTGTTCCTTCTTGGGGGAGTCTCGGTTCCCTCCTGCCCTGTATTTATTTGTTTCTGTAAGTGTTCTCATTATGCCTGACCATTTATAGTTGTGTGCAATGAATATGGTTTATTTTCCTTAGCTTTGATCTCTGGGTTCTGTCAGGGACACAATGCATAATTGCTTCCTGTACTGGAACGAGAAGCCAGGGAAGCTGCTTTGCTTATTAAACACAGACACACACGTGGGGTCTCGGTGGTCCGATTCCAACAGACACCTTCCTCTGCGCGGCACCCACCCCAAGCTCTGGGGAAGGCCTGTGGGGTCGTCGTGGCAGCCACCTGCCACTGTGGACCAGGCCTGAGTGGTTCTGAAAGCTGGAATTTATTCACTGCCACGGCTAATTAAAATTAGACTTGACCTAAAAACATGAACGTGTGTCTTCACTTGGGGGTGCAAATAGCTCCCTAATTCAGTCCTGGCTCCCCGTGGGGCCTCCCCCAGCACTCCCAGCAGCAGGCTGGTGGGCCTCATTTTGAAGAACCTCACCTAGTGATTTAGTGTTTTGACTAGTTTTGGTTAATCTTCCCCGAATACACAGCAGTGCACAAAGTATCAGTAACCTCACTTCACAGGCTGGGGTGATTAGCGGGGATGACAGTTTCAGCTTTGCTGGAGTGTCGGATTGTATGTGTGACGCTCAGCTCTCCAGATGGCAGAGAACAGGCTGAGTCATGCGTTAAACAAAATGACAGCAGCCAAGTGTGTGGGTGGGTGTGGGGGCCCCTGTAGCCCCTCCTGAGGTTCTCTGAACATGGTGCTCTGCCATCATGCTGGGGGTGTCTGGTACGCTAGCCAGAGAGATGGGCCCCTCCACCCACCTAGGGCCCAAACCTGACTCTGACAGGCCCCAAGTGCCTGGAACCTACACCCCCTCCCTCAAAGAATGCTGCATCTTTGCTGCTCACATGGCTGCTCCCCCAGGGATGATTGCTCACTTGGCCACCCCAGGTCTGCGGTGAGGAGACCTGCGCCCTGCTCTGGGATCCGTAAGGGCATAAGGGGAGCATGGTGGACAAGGCATGGGCCAGGCTCCCTGCAGAGGCCATCCCCGCTCACTTCCCTGCCAGCAGCCTGGACAGCTGTTGTGGCCCAGGGCTGATGCTGGAGTTGGTCATCCCTGTGGCCTGTGGGGCCCTGAGCACCAACAATGGAGTAGAGCGCCAGCAGGCCCCTCCCTCTCAACCCACAGGGGCAGGGGCACAATTCTCCATTGTCAGAGGGGTCCTGACCTCTGGCTCCATCCTGGGCACCAGGCTGGTACCCCAGTGGCCCTGGGGAGAGGAGCTGGGGTTCCTGGAGAGGGCACCTCAGAGCTGACCCCAAGCCCAGGAGCCAGTGTGGGGCCGTGCAGCCCGCTGGGTGGACTGTGTGGGGCCAAACTTTTTCCCTCAGCCTCAGGGTAGGCCTCCCGCTGCTCTCGTGAAGAATGTCTGTGGCACCATGGCCGGGCCCTCTGCTTCTGAGCATGGGAACCATGCCTGCCCTGTGGACACGGAGGATGTCCTCCAGGGGAAGCAGGTCCTCCAGGGGGAGCATGCTGCCTGCAGGGGCATGATGTGCCCTTGTGGACACCCGGGGGCAGCCGGGAGGAAGTGCCCTCCATGGCCCCACTCATTGGATGAGGCCTCGAGAGCGTGAAAGATCCCAAGCCTTTGAGGACAACGGGCACCTTTAGAACATGGCTGTGAGCGAGCCTGACAATAAAAGGTCGCTGACTCCATGAGGGATGTAATCTGTGGTGAGGCCAGGACAGAGCGACAAGTCCAGGGTCACGGGGTGGCCCTACCGGCGGCCTCTGTGGTCAAGCGAGCATCTGGAGGGCAGACCCCAGGGCCCAGCACAGCAGCTCAGTTACCCATCTGGCTGCAGACACCTCTGTGTGGCACTGGGTACAGTGGCACAGGAAATGGACATCAGGGTCCATGTCATGTCTTCCCTGTGATTATGCCAGAGGGGGGCTGCAGGCAGTGGAAGATGTGGTCTCCTTAGCAGAAGATGCTGTGGTAGCTGGACATCGGGATGGATGAATCTCATCTCTGCCTTACATCGCACCCCAAACTCCATTCCAGATGAGCGGCGGCTATCTAACACTCCTGAACGTTCCAGAAGAAAACTTAGGGCAATGTCTCCTTAAGCTTGGGATAGGCAAAGATTTCTTTAAAAGAATGTAGAAATGCTGCCTTGTAAAGAAAACGCTGTACCCGGGATCCCATTAAGAGGAGACTTGCGTTCATCGAAGTATCATTAAGAACAAAGAGGCAAGCCACGGGAGAGGAGACCTGCAGGGGTCTGCACGTGGCCGCGGGAAGACTGTGAGCCGGAGGGCATCTCGACAGAATGGCCCAACACAGAACAGCAAAGAGAACAAAGATCGGAAAAAACTGAACAAAATATCCAGGGTGTGGGACAGCCAGGAAACAGGAACCACGTGTAATGGGAACACCGGCGGGAGGAGAGAGAGAAGGACAAGAAGACATGACTGGGAATGTTCTCGAATTAATGTCAGACACCAAACTACAGGTCCTGGATCTCAGCAGACACCAAACATGACAAATGTCAGACACGTTACCTTCAAAGTGTAATAAAGATAAAGAAAAGACCCAGGGCGCCTGGGGGCTCAGTCGGCTGAGTGCCTGACTCTTGATTTCAGCTCAGGTCATGATCTCAGGGTTCTGGGACTGAGCCCCGCATCGGGCTCCTTGCTCAGTGTAGTGTCTGCTTGGGATTCTCTCTCTCTCTCCCTCTGCCTCTCTCCCCACTCACATACACACCCTCTAAGTTAAAGCAAATAAATAAAATCTAAAAAATAAAATAAAAAAAGAATCCTGAAAGGAGCCAGAGGCAGAAATTACCTGCCCCAGAGAGGAACAGGGTAGGACTCACCTCTGACTCCTGAGACGCAGGGTGGGCAAGACAGGGAGTAGGCCAGCTAGAGTTCGGAGAAGAAACAAAACCCACCAGCCTAGAATTCTGTACTCTCCTTCCCTTCAAAAGGGAAGGCGAAATACAGACTTTCTTAAAGAAAAGTGGAGGGACTCTATTACCAGCACACTTGCCTGCTAAGAAATAGAGAACAAATTCTTGAAAGGGATCAGACCTCGCATCTGCACAGAGAATGTAAGAGCGTGGAAGGAGTAGGTGAAGGCAAGATGAAACAGTTTAATTTTTTTTTTTTTAAGATTCTTTATTTGTCAGAGAGAGAGAGAGAGATCACAAGTAGGCCGAGAGGCAGGCAAAGGCAGAGGGAGAAGCAGGTTCCCTGCCGAGCAAGGAGCCTGATGTGGGACTTGATCCCAGGATGCTGGGATCATGACCTGAGCCAAAGGCAGCTGCTTAACTAACTGAGCCACCCAGGCGTCCCAAAACAGTTTAATTTTTTTAAGAAAGATTTCATTCATTTGAGAGAGAGCAAGAGAGTGAGAGCATGAGCTGGGGAGTGTGGTAGAGGCGGAAGCAGGCTCCTTGCTGAGCAGGGAGCCTGACATGGGACTCTATCCCAGGACCCTGAGATCATGACCTGAGCCAAAGGCAGACGGTTAGCTTAACCGCTGAAATGACTGAGCCACCCAGGCTCCCCAAGGTGAAACAGTTTTAACTGATGTTAACAGGTAACCATTTGCTCAAAGTAACAGGATGTATCTCCTCCTATCCTGTGTGTGCACCTCCCACACGCCTACATAAAGGGAACGCCTACATAAAGGGAAGGACCACAAGGATACAGGGCTGGGGGCTGGAATCGGGATGTCAGTTGTCAGGAGGCAGGCAAACTGCCCATGGGATGGGACAGTGCCTGGATTAGCTGTAAATTCTGGGGCAAGTAGCAGAACAGTCACATAAGGAGAGCTTACCTGCTAAAAAAGGAGATGGATGGACTCCTAGAAGGTACTCAGTTAACACCACAAAACCAAGAAAAGGAGAGGAAGACAAAAACAGGAACACAGAACAAGGGTTCAGATATGAAGCCAACCGTAGGAGTCTCCACTTGCAACATCAGTGGAACACACGCTCCCGTGGAAGGCAGATGGTCGGAGGGGATCAGAAAACAAGACCACCTGTCTGCACGGAACCACGCTGGATAGAAAGATTACAAGCATGAAGGATAAAATGATAAAAATTTAAAAATACAGATCAAAAGTAAGTGGAGGAAAACACACCATGTGAACTAATGAAAGCAGGAATATCCGTCTGGATTTCAGGCGTCGGGAATAACGATGGGTATTATGTGTGGGTAAAGTGGCCGCTTCTCCACGATACAGTCTTTAACATGCACGCATGTGCCTCAAAAGAGAGTCAAACGACAGGAGGCAAAAACTAACAACTCCAAGGAGAAACAGATGAATTCACCGTCCTCATGAGAGACTTCAAGCAGGAAATCAGTAAGGATGTGAAAGTGTATAAAGAACTACAGATCCTTAAGAATAAGACAGGCAGCCCAGTTTTTAAAAAATGGGCAAAAGACTGGGGCAGACAGTTCACAAAGACCAGACATCCAAGTGGCCCGTGGATACGGAGCAGGCGCACCAGTTCAAGCCCTCAGGGCAAACACAAGTTCACGGAGACCTGGGTCCCTCCAGAGCAGCTGAAATCAGAGAAAGTGCCTGTTGCTGATTGGGAGGGAGAGGAGCTCTTGCATGCCCCGCCCTGGGGAGCAGCCACCAGGAAAGCTGATATGGCACGGGTAACCTGGGACTGCTGATGGCGGTGCCACTGGTGGCTGCCACCTGGGAACAGCCAGGGGCCATGCACAGGACAGAGACGGCGGTCACAGCTGGTGTGTGAGCCACAGAAATGCACAGGGGCACGGGGCAGCACACACCAGGGCACACATGCGTCACTGCACTCTTGGGACGTTTTAGAACAGACTGAATCTTCGACTGTGACAGAGGCCAGCGGACAGGTGGCCCTTTCCATCTTCTGATCACTGTGCTGGCCACATGATGGGCCCATTTCTCAAGTGTTCCTGGTGAAGATGGGTGCAGGCTGACTTCAGGACCAGTGTGGTTCGTGGAGCCTTGGGGTGTGAGGATGGCAGGGAAAGGAATCATTAACTGTGAGGGACAGCGGGGTCACCTGCCGAGATGGGAAGGCTGTGGTGGGCGGGCAGCCCGGCGAGGAGAGAGGACGAGCCGGGTGGGCCAGAGCTGGGGGTATCTGAGGGGCAGTGGCGGGAAAAGGGTGTGCCTGGACCCCATGGGGCTCTAGGGGTGACACAGGAGGTTGGTTTAATGGTACCGGACACTTTAAAGGGACCTCATGAATGAGTGCGAGACAGAGACCCAGATGTAGTTTCAGGAAGGCCGCCTGGGGGTCGTGTGGAGAATGGACTCGGGAGGGAGAGGGCAGAGCGGAGAGTCCAGGTGAGAAAGGGAGGTCTGGGTATGACAGCAGCGGGAGGCCGACTGAGAGGGATTCAAATTCTATCCCAGGGACAAGAGAGCATGTCCTGCTTCATCTCCAGGACACGTTTCCTGCCTGATCCCACACCTGCCCTGCGGGAAGGCCACCATCACACTCAGTACTGAGGATCTGGGGTGAGCGAGGCTTTCTTACGTATGTGTCTTGTTCAGGAAATGCAGAACATAGAGAGGGCAGGAGGGAAAGGCCCTAAGAAATCAGAGGCCTGGAAGTTTGCTTGCTTGTCGCCAGGACAGCAAGAATGGAGGTGAAGCTGTCTGCAACCCACAAGGCCCACGGTGCACACGTCTGCATGGTCCTGCCCCTCCAGCCTCTGGGCATCTGTGGGTGCTACTTTCCACCTGCCATCTGCTCAGACCAAACGTCAGGTCCTTTGGGAATTTTCCCTTTTGCCTGATTATCTGCCCAGGCTCTTTATTCTGGATGCCCCAGACTACTGGGTGTCCACTAGACCCGCTCTCCACACACGTCCTCATGAACCCGGCAGCCAGGCTAGATGAGAGCTCGGCAGGGTGGGTTGGGACCTGTTCCCGTGTCCTGACACTGAGCAGAGCCCTAAAGATCGGTGACCCAGTGAACAGTCTCAGTAGAACAAAGACATTTGGGTGGTTGGCAGAACAGACCACTGGCAACCCCAGTTGTCCATATTCCATGCCATTTCTTCTGCAGCCCGGCCTACCTCCGGGGCCAGCTCACAGGCCCAGATGCCAGAGTGTCAGCAGACTGGGCTCTGTCCCTGCTGTGCCCTCCCTGGGCAGGATCGGTCACATGGCCTCGCACTTGCCCAGACCAATGACCCCCTGCGGCGGGCCGAGTCCTGGGCCCACGACGGGGAGGTGCACGCCATGGACAGTGCAGCCATGGCTTTTCACACCGGGCTGTGGGCCAGCCATGCACCATGAAGTCTGCTGGGTGACTGGCGATCAAAGGAAGAAGAACAGGACAGGAGATGTGTTCATGCCCTGTTACGTGGTGGGAGCGCAGCTGCTCAGGGACTAGACATTTCTTACATGGGTTGTCATGTTTAGAAAACCCTGAACTCGAGAACCACTGGGCTGTAGTGTCTACAGCCTTCTTCCCTTCCAGGAGCCTCACTGGTATGCATGTGGGGCTCTGTTCCCTGCCCAGGGAAAGCGACCTTAATTAAGGTTGCCAGCTTTCTTCAGAATAACATCCAAATGGCGAAGGCTTGTGTAGTGCTTGGTGACATTTACACACAATTTCATTTTATCTGCACATGCCTATGAGGAGAAAGAAGGGCAAAGGCTTGAAATCGGAGAGCTGTGTGACCGCAGACAAGCTGCTTGGCCTCTCTGGGCTTCGCTTCCCGCCCTTGGGAAGTGTTGAGGATTGTTCAGAGTGTGTGCATGTGCTTGAAAAGGCTGAGACAGGTTCGTCATTGGCTCCCCTGAACAGACCAAGACACCCAGAGATGGACCAGCCCCATAGCTAGAAGAAGCTGCAGCCTTAACCCACTCCCAGCGTCCCAAGCAACACAGAGCACATACACGGCACTTGCCGCCCTTCCACACCCTTTGAGAGAGGCGGGAGATGTTCCTGTCATTCCCATTCCGCAGATGAAAGAACGGAGGCCCGAGGGCTAGTTCAGGAGCTCCAGCCTATCTCCTCGGGAGCTGGTAGTGTGGTCAGGCCCACCCTTTCCTCACCTTTTGGCCCCGTCCTCGATGGTCTCTCCGTCTTGAACTTTGCCCCCGAAGCCATTCCAGCGGCCGACCCCGAAGCCTCTCTTCTTCATGCCCAGGAGCACTCGCTGAGGCTGCAGCACCAGCACCAAGGTGTAGAGCCTGGAAGTGCCCATGGTCCCCTGGAGAGCCCCTGAGGAAGGCAAGAGGGCTGGGTCAGCCTGACCTGGGTGCAGATGGGGTGGGATGGAGGCCAGGGCCCGGGTGAAATGGGAATGTGCCATGGAAGGGAGGGAGGGGAAGCCTGCTAAGTCATCTCCCAGCCCTCCCCCACATGCTCACCTCTGAACAACAAGTGGGCTTCCGGGCTAGAAAGGGGCTTGGCCCTGTGAAGCCGGCAGCAACAGTGGCCAGGCCCCCAGCAGGAGGTGGCCTTGTCAACCACTCCTCTGCCTCAGCACAGAAGCTGGAGGGCGGTCCACCCCCGGGTGCCAACATCACCATGCAGGTTAGCCCGTGGCCTTCTCACCAGTGGGGTTTTCTTCTGGCCTATGGGGATCTGCCTTCTGCCCCTTAGCAGTAGCTGACCTGCAGAGTCCCAGGGAGTGAGTAGCTCCTGAAGGCACAGAGCCCCTCCAGGAAGGCTGGTTCGCCCTCCAGCCTGTGCTGCTCTGGGATTTCGTACTGGAACCACAAGGGGCCCCCTTCTGCTCTAGTGGGGGAGCACGGTCCTGAGGAAAACACCCAGGGTGAAGTCTGGGTGACTGCTGGAGACATGGTGGAGAGCCAAGAGCAGGTCCCCTGTCCATGCAGCCCCAGCGCAGCCTGGGGCCCACTGAACACAAGTCTCCCACGCTGGATGAGGAGCAGGAGCAGGGATCCTTCTGGGAAGTTCCCGTGTCCCCCAAGGCACCTTCAGCTGGGCCTGGCGTTCTGGTGGGTCTCTATCCCTGTGTACTTCTTCGTGATGCTCATGGGCTCTGGCCCAGAGCCCTGGCTTCCCAGTGCACTGTGTTGGTGACGGAGAGGATCCTGGGAGCGTCAGTGACCACTTAGGAAGCATTCACTATGCGCGTCTCAAAAAGTATTCATTTAATAAACCCAACAACTCCGTGAGTTATGACTTGCTTTCTCCATTTCCAGAGGAAGAAGTGGAAGCTGAGAGGCAGAGCGGGCTCAAAGGGCAGACTCGGTGCCCCAGTCTGGGTCTAGCTCCGCTGGTGCACAGACACCGGAAAAAGCCGCTGGGGTCCTCGGAGAGCCTACCTAAGGTCAGGGGCTGGGAGGCTGTCGCAGACGGGGCGGCCCTATTTGTTAGCCGTGGGGTCCCAGTCTAGTCCCTGTAGACGGAGGCCCCTTCCCAGGGCTCTAAACGGTAATATCCGCTATCCGCAGAGCCCCAGGCCGGCCTTACACAGCGCGGGGGCTTGGGACATCAGGTCTCCGGGCTGCGAGACCGCGGCGGTCCCGGATCCACTCCTCCGACCTCTGCTCACCTGGCCCCCCGCCCCCCTCCCCCCAGGTCCCCCCGAGCCCTGCCCTCTTCTACCCGGTCCTGCTATCACCCGGCCCCGCCCGCCCTTTCCCCTCTCCCAGGTCCCCCGAGTCCCCCAAGGTCCCCGATCACTAAGCCCCGCCCCCGCCCCTTCCCCTCTCAGCTCACCAGACCCGGGCTCCTCTCCCGGGCTCTCTGGTGTCTGCTCTTCCAGCCCGCGTTCCGCTTTTGGAACCGGGGCGCCGCTTCCGGGGGCGTGGCCTCTGGCCGGAAGTGATGCCGCTACTTCCGGCGCGGGCGGCCGCCGCGGGTCTCCACCTATGGCTCGGTGAGTGAGATTGGGAGGTTGGTGCGGCTGTGCGCGCAGCCGGCATTTACCGAGCGCCTGTTGCAAGCGTGAGGGAGGAGGAGCGGCCAGGGACGCGTCCCAGGTTCCTGCGGAGGAAACGGGACGCGGACGCGGGCATCCCCGGCGAAGTGCCTAGGAGCGGACTTCCAGTACAGAGCCAGTATTCGGGACGGCTCCCAAGGAGCTGCGGGCGGGCGGAGGGGGCAGGTGAGGGGGCGCTGCAGGTGGAGGGTGGGGAAAGAGTTGGGGGCAGGTGAGGGGGCGCTGCTGATGTAGGGTGGGGAGAGCAGACAGGGCAGGTGAGGGGGACGGTGGAGGGTGGAGGGTGGGGAAAGAGTTGGGGGCAGGTGAGGAGACGCTGCAGGTGGAGGTGAAGCTTGCGAAGGGCACATCAGGTCTGAAGGCTGTGAGGGCTCCCACGAGTGGCCATTGTGCTGAACCCCAGTCGTGGGTGGGCGCGGGAGGTCAGCTAGCAAATCTGCAGGTCCAGGTGGGTGTGACTCGTTTCCAGCCTTTCCCCCAATTGTGGGAGTTGGTTCTGAGGCCCAGGACTGGTCTGTGCTCCTCGCAGGAGACCCCTTACGCTCTTTGAAGGCAGCAGTTGCAGTTGGTGTGTCCTGATTTTGCCAGCATGCTTCGGTTGTTGAGGGGGCTTTGGCCTGGAGCCATGGGGATGACGGTAGGCTCTTTCCATCAGAAACGCGGATGCAGAATTTAGTGTGTAGGGTGGTGCTGTGAGATCACCAGGGGACATCGGGGGAGCTCCTGGCAGTCGATAAACTGTTAAAAACTTGACTGTGCCAAAGAGACTTGGAAACGGTCCTTCACCTGGTCACACGGGTAGAGTTCAGCTGCATAAGGTGGTGTGACTGGTAAGGCCCTGTGTTGGCCTCTGCAACCATGGAGCTACGTGAGGCCAGGGCCTGTCCTCGGGGGTTCTCTCGCAGTCCCACAGAGCCCAAGGGAAAGTTGTACTGGGTGAGGAGGAGTTACTGTCGTTGGTATTAACAGTAGCATTAACCAGGGCTGGAAAAACGTTGGTTGACACAAAGTGACTATCAGTGATGTTCGAGTCTTCCTTCTGAAGTCCACGAGTGGAAGACGCTTCTTTCCTACAAGGTGACAACTGCTGTGCTGGCTTGCTTGGGTGCTGTGAGAAAGCACCCTAGGCTGGGCAGCTGGAACGGCATGGACTTCCGCCTCCCAGTGCTGGGGGCTGCAGGCCAGGTCAAGCTGTGGGCAGGGCTGGTTTCTCCTGGGGCCCCTCTCCTTGGCCTGTAGATGGCTGCCTTCTCGCTGTGTCTCCACCTGCAGTCTTTCCTAGGTGCACATGTGTCCCTTTTTGATGAAGACACCAATCATACTGGATTTGGACCTACCCATATGGTCTCATTTTAACTGAACCACCTCTTTAAAGATCATTTCTATTTTGAGGTACTGGGGTTAGGACTTTAACACATGAATTTGGGGAGGGACTCAGTTCACCCCATTCCAGCTGCTTTTGGGCTGGGTAGCTTGCCAAGTCCTCCCCCCTCAGGTTGCAGGCCCCGTCTCTAAAAACATGTGGGTTGAACCAGGGAGCCTCCTGTCCGTGTGACGCCAGCCTGTTTGCTCCCTTTTTCTCCATCAGGTTCTGGAAGCTGATAGGTGCGACCCTTCGGTGTCAAAGGTTTCATGTTGCCGGGAGTCACTGCAAGGGTCGCACCGGGGCTGAGCACCTGTGGCTGACACGCCATTTTAAGGACCCATTCGTGAAGGCTGCAAAGGTGGAGAGTTACCGGTGCCGAAGTGCCTTCAAGCTCCTGGAGGTGGACGACAGGCACAGGATCCTGCGGCCTGGCCTCCGGGTATTAGACTGTGGGGCAGCCCCCGGGGCATGGAGCCAGGTGGCTGTGCAGAGGGTCAACGCTGCGGGCACAGGTAAGGCCCCTGACCACCCTGGGTCAGCAGGCGTGAGCCAGCTGCCCTCTACCAGAGAATTCGGGGTGGCCAAGCCACTTGGTGGCTTGTTTGGTAATAAGAAGGGTGAAAGTGGAACACTGATGTTTTTGAAACGACGGACACGGTAGAAGGCTCTAGTGCAGGTTTAAAGCACCTTAAATCGCACCATATCTGTGCGTACATCAGTGTGTCAGCGTGCCCCCTTCCAGGGTTTGCTTTTGCACACATAACTATATATCTATGTTTTCTTTTCAAAAAATGCTAGTATCCCATATCCACAATCTTCTTGCTGATTTGGAGCCTTAACGGAGCTGGGTTTTTTCACCTACTGATACACTAACATCTTTCTGCGACAGTACAGCTGAATCAACCCCAGGGGTTCCCAGGTCCTGGTCCTCGAAGCCCACGGGGTCCCCACAGTCCCGCTGGGGCTGCTCTAGGAGCACCCGCCGTAGGGGCTCTGGGTTTTCCCCTCCAGGTTGGCCTGAGAGACTCCGCTGTTGCCGTTTTTTATTTTAGGATTTTGTCAAAGATTTTCTATCTGAAAATGGCTCCCCTGGCTGATCAACGGCGATCCTGTACCCTCAGTTTAGAAAACCACGTTGTCCCTTCAAATGCTTGTGCAGAGCTCCAGAAGACCGCTGTCCGGCGCCGCTTGGCCAGCCTCCCCTTGGGCACCAGCGTGCCTCCCAGGTCTTCTGCTAGTGTGTGTCCCTCCCTCGCTTTCCTGCTGTAAAAACGGAGGCTGCCACCATCCCTGGCATTCCGTGAACTAGGCCGATTCACAAGGGCCGCTGTGACACGCAGAGTGAGGGCATGTGCCTGTTGTCCTACTGAAGAATGGGGTTCAGAGGAATTTGCTGGTCTGCTGAAAGGAGAGGCTGGAAGTGCCGCTCCCTGCATTCACATTTAAGATCCAGCCTCGTTACTGTGGATGGGATGCCTGCAGGGGCTCTAGAACAGGTGGGAAAAAATGTTTTTAGCTCAATAAATATTGCCTGAGTGAAGGAATTTGTGTCAGAGACTTCAGTTCCTTTTCCTACCACTGAGCCTACCCATAGATCCAACAAGTGATTTCAGTGCTTCCCATCCCCGTAATTGCTCTTCAGGAGAAGAATGAAGATGGCCAAGTTTAACCTGCAGGAAGACGTGGCAGAGGCAAACAGTGTGGATAAAATGATTGGGTTTCTTTTCCTCCCAGAAGTTGTGAAAATGCATCCCAAGCCATTTGTCTCTAGTGGACCCCTCCCCATCAGGTTATAACACATGAGATATGAGATGTAGGATGTCCTCCTTTCCAGGGATGAGAATGGTATTTTCTCCTTTGAAACATGTACTCTACAGAGTACCTGACTTCCAGTCTTTACATAAAGTAAAATACACGTTCCCCCGCCATGGAACAGCCTCTGCTAAGCAGACGGAACCAGCAAGTCTATGATGCACCCTGAACTGGTGCCCCCCGCTCCGCGTGGGTGCTGGCAGAGTGGGGGCCCTCCCTGGTGTGGGGGAGGGCCTCGGACGGGGACACCTGGGCCGTGAGGGGGGAGCCCTGCGTCTGGGGGCCGCTGTCCTGCAGGCAGGAGGGGCCCTGCTCAGGGCGAGTGAAACAGTGGCATCTTTACTGCGCCATGGGTGCTGCTGAAACCTGTGCGAGGGGTCGGGTTCTGTACCTTGTCTTCTGCCTGTCTCTGTACCCCTTTCTTGGCTCGTTTCTGGTAGCTTCTGCATTGAAAGCAGTTGGGTTAAGCTGGAGAGCGGACGTGTTGACTGCAGAGGTAGTAGATGTATTAGTGGGTCCTGTTCTGTCCTGGCTTGTCAGAATGGCCACTCAGGTAAGACCTCTCACAGCGAGCAGGCCCTAGGAGGTGACATGACGTCCTGTGCTCTGGGACAGGTGCTCTTCTCCAGGCCCCAGGTTCCTCCTGTGCGGATTGAGGACCGCCTCTCCCTGCGCTATGTCTGTGTAGACAGAGAGAGCTGGGGAAGGGCCTTGTGTCTACTCTCTCGAGTTTGCTCCTGTCCTTCGTCTTGACCTCCTGACCTTTTATTTCCATTTTTCTCTTTGTATTTCTGAGGGATGGTTCAGGATGTAAATAATGGACTCGCTCTCTCTTCTTTAGATCCCAGTGCTCCCGTTGGCTTTGTGCTTGGGGTCGATCTTCTTCACGTATTCCCCCTGGAAGGAGCAACTTTCCTGTGCCCCGCTGATGTGACTGACCCAAGAACCCTCCAGAGAATCCGAGAACTGCTTCCTGGAGGGAGAGCAGATGTGATTCTGAGTGACATGGCACCCAATGCCACGGGGATCCGCAGCCTGGATCACGACAGGCTCATTGGCCTGTGCTCGTCCCTTCTGGACCTCGCTCCAGATGTCCTGGAGCCCGGCGGAACATTCCTCTGCAAAACGTGGGCTGGAAGTCAGAGCCTGGCATTACGGAAGCGACTGACAGGCCAGTTCCAGAACACCAGGACGGTGAAACCCAGAGCCAGCAGGAAGGAGTCGGCAGAGGTGTACCTCTTGGCCACACAGTACCAAAGAGGGAGGGATTTTGCAGAGGACTGAGAGTTTCTTCTGTCATTTCCGAGCCTTGTTCACTGCAAGTGTCATCTGAGCTCTTGCCAGGAGTGTGGCAGGGGGGCGGGGAGTGGGTTCAGGGCTTGACTGGGGATGCAGGAGGCAGGATAAGTGGGGGACCTTTGTTTGAAGCCAAAAAGGTACAACAAAACAATATTTGCTGGCTGGGATGTACCATCAGAAATAGTCTCTAGGATGTGATTCGTGAGGCGGAGAGGAAAGGATGAAAGGACAGTGGCAAGGTGCTGGCAGCACACTTGGGCCTTGGTGTGACCTTCATGTAACTGTCACGTCACAGAGAAGGTCTCCACCCCTGCCCTTGGACCGACTGACTGCAACAGCCAGTCTTCTCCTTGTCATTTTGCTTATATAGTGCTAAGTGTGCAGACCTCGACTTTCAAGCTGGGGGCTAATCTCCATCTCTCTGGTGGATGATACGTTAATCCCATCTTCAAGTAGCGGGAGTTCCCATGTGGATAAGGAAGGCATTTGGTGTGAATTACCCAGGGGGTGGATGTGCTTTGTTTTGTTCCTGGAATCCTGGCGGGGGGGTTCCCCAAGACTGACAGTGGCCAGAGCAAGCAACCACATGTAGTGTGTGCATCTATTTCCTTCTACTCTCTTCCTGCTCTCTTCCAGGAACTCAATGAGGCTTTACAGAACAATGTAGACTGTGCGATTTTAATGGATTTCCGTGCTTTTAAGTTTGTTTTTATAAAAATTGGTTTCTCCAAAGCCATTTCCTGGAGGTTTGCTCATCCCTCATGAAGAGTGTATTGACCGTATCACTGATTAAATCTCAGGAATAGGGCTGCAGGAGAGTCCAGGAAGATACCCATAATCTCCATGAGGGCCCGAGATATCAGTCCAGCACTCTTAAGTGGCTGAAGGCCAGATTTAGCATTTTTCCATTATATTTGGTGGTGGTCAGTTATGTCCGAGACTACCCTGTCCTACCCCCAGCACATCCTCCGTTCCCATTCTATTTCACACCCTGGGGGGCATTGCAGATCTTCCAGACCCTGGGGGGGATGCATACCCTGCAGACTCTGACCTTTGGGGCACAGTGCAGACCCTGCAGACCCCCTGGGGGGTGCATACCCTTCAGACTTTGGGGGAGTGTGCAGACCTTTGGGGGTGCAGTAGACCCTCCAGACTCTGGGCGGGTGGTTGGTGCAGACCCTCCGGTGCTCAGTCTGGTGGGGGACAGGGAAGAGGAGGTTCAGGAAGGAGGATGACCCCCCGTTACTAGACGAGGGTCTCTGGCTGTAGGAGCTCAGAGGGCCCTGGGAGGATAGCCTAGCAGCAGAGTATTTTGCTTTGCCAACGAGCCCAGAGAAAAGTAAAGATGTATTAATTCAAGTCAATAGTGCAGCAAAATTTTCGGAGTTGTCAAGAGCAGGAAAGTTTGGCCCGAAGAGGCCACCGTTGGGCGGTGCTGTTCCACACAATACGGTGAGAGGCCACCACCCCAAGGGGTGTCCGTCCCACTGTGGGAGGCGGGCTCCCCGATCGACCCGCTGGCTACCCTGTGGTGAGAATCCTCCGGGCGAGGTCTCCCGGGGCCGGCGGCTCCGGGGCGCACACGGGGCTCCCAGGACTCAGAAGTGCATGGACCTGGGTCTTTACGGCGGGTCCTGCCCAAGTCTCGCGAGAACACGGCGGCAGGTCTCGCGATACGCGGGCGCGGGCGCCGAGGAGGGAGATCTGAGCGGTGGCGGCGATCGCCCGTGTCTGAGGTTAGCTGCCTAGCGCCGGGGTCCCCGGTGGGCGGCGGTGGGCGGCGGTGGGTGGCGGGCCGGGGCAGGGGCCGGGGCCGAGGGACGCGCTGGACGCGGGCGCTGTCCCCTTTTCCTGCCTGTTGGCCTCCTCCCCGCCGCGCTGGGTCCCTCGGAGCGGGACCGGGGTCCCAGTCGGCTTCTCTGTGGCGGGGAGCCGGGCGATGGGCCGGGACCGGTGTCAGAGCGGGGCCAGAGCGGGGCCGGGGTCCGAGTCGGCTTCTTTGGTGGTGGGGGCCCGGACTGGGGTCAGAGTCGGACTGGGACCGGGGTCGGAGCGGTACCGACTTCTCTGTGGCGGGGAGCGGGGCGGGGGCCGGGACCGGAACCGGCACCGGAGCGGGGTCGGCTTCTCTGGTGGCGGGGAGCGGTGCGAGGGGCCGGGCCCGGGACCGGAGCGGGGTCGGAGCGGAGCGGGTGTCCCAGTCGGCTTCTCTGGTGGCGGGGAGCGGGGCGAGAGGCCGGGACTGGGGTCGGAGCGGGGTCGGAGCGGGGCCGTGGTCCGAGCCGTCCGCTCTGGTGGTGGGGAGAGGAGCGGAGGTCGGAGCGGGGCAGACCCCGACTCGGCTACTGGGGTCTGGCGGAGCCGGCCCTGTGCCCGGAGTTGCCAACGGTGGCAGAAGTACTGGTTCGGTGCCCAGGCGGAGAAGGGCTGCTGACAGGCAGCGTGCTCTGCGCGCGCAGCCCAGAGGTTGTGATTTCCCGGGGCTTGGGTTTCCGTGGTTGGGTTGCTGAAGATTGGAGTCTGTGGCATAAAGAGGATGGAGTTTGAGCTGCTGCCTAATTGCGTGCCTTGTGCAGCGGCTTAGTTCCAGGCGGTTGAAAACCTGTGTGTGCTCTTCATTCTAGGGGATTACATGCATCAGTTCTTACAGGGGATGGCCTGTCGGGAACAGAACCTAGTGGCTAAGTTTCCCATTAGGGGATGGAGAGTGTGGCCCCGGTCTAACCTGGGCGAACAAAGGGGTTTGCCTTCTGGAGCAGACCTGTGCTGTCTCCTGCCGCTTGGGCCTGTATCTACCAGGCTCTCAGCACTCAGTGCTTGTCCTGTTCTGTCTCCCAGCCGGTTTTCCACTGACAGTATGGTTGAGAAGTGGAGAAGACAGGTGTGTTGTCCGGGATGCAAACGTGGCCTACAGAGAAGGGCTCTATTCTCCTCGAACAGGAATTCAGAGTCAAACTAAGATTCCTCACTTTCTTCCTTTGGGGTGTTGGCTGGGAGGCGTTTTCAATCTAATACTTGGGAAAGTCCAGGGCGCCTGCGTGGCTCAGTCGGTTAAGTGGTTTCCTTTGGCTCAGGTCATGATCCCAGGGTCCTGGGATGGAGCCCCGCATCGGACTCTCTGCTCAGTGGAGAGCTTGCTTTTCCCTCTCCCTCTGCCTGCTGCTCTGCCTACTTGTGCTCTATCTCTCTGTGAAATAAATAAATACAATCTTAAAAAAAAAATCCTTAGGAAAGTCTGTGTGAGCGGGCCTTTTACCTAGGTGGAACATGGTATGTACCTGTAGGAATTCACACCTTTGCTCATTAACTGTACCTGGGATGTTCCCCACCCATTGGTGTGTGGGCGGCTGTCAGGACACGGTCAGTACAGGTTTGGGGATGTGGGTTCTTTTTATTTTATTTTAATTATTTATTTGAGAGCAAGAGAGTGAGCACAAGTGGGGACAAGCAGATTCCCCTCTGAGCAGGGAGCCTGATACGGGGCTGTATCCCAGAACCCTGGGATCATGACCTGAGCTGAAGGCAGACACTTAAGCATGCCCTGGGGGTGCCCCACAGATGCTGGTTCTTTGCTGTTGTTCATGCTCTGTCCTCCATGCCCTGGCTTGTGGAGTCCAGTGCACACTGGACTTTAGAGCCACGTAGACCTGGGTTCCAGTCTGTTCTGTAACTTTCTGAAGTGCCACTTTCATGATGTGTGAAATATGTGCAGAAAGACCTAGTTGGCCCATCATGCTGCCTGAGATGTCATGTGTGGAGTTACAGGCAGAGTGATGAACCGTGTGCCAGTCACAGCCCTGCCATCTGGACATGTATGCTGGACACTCGTCCTCATGGCATCCTTGCCAAGTGGCTCTCAAATTTACAGATGAGTCTTGGCTGCCAGCTAACTGCAAACATGTGCTTATGAACAGTGGGGTCATGTAAGGACTCAGAGAGAGCCCTGGGAGAGTGGGGCTGTTGGTAGAGCTCGTGGTGCCTGCAGAGGCTCACGGTCACTCCTCCCTTGCCTTCCTCCAAAAGTAAAGTGGCCATGGATGACCTGGGGGAAAACACCACTGTGCTGTCCACGCTGCGGTCTTTGAACAACTTCATCTCTCAGCGGGTGGAGGCTGGGTCCGGCCTGGATGCTGCCACCTCCGCCCCAGGTTCTCTGCAGACACAGTATCAGCAGAGCATGCAGGTGCGTGCCCTGGGGTGCGGGGGGGGATGTCTCTGGGTGGAAGGTGTATGCCCTGGGGTGTGGGGGGTGGTCTCTGGGTGGAAGATGTGTGCTGTGGGGTGCAGGAGGGGGTGTCTCTGGGTGGAAGGTGTGTTCCCTGGCAGTTCTTTTCCAGCGGGAAGTACTTGTGAGTGCCTTGTACGGGGGAGTGTTCTCTGGGTAGAAGGCACCTGCCCTTGGCGGGGGCCTTTTCAGGTGCCGGGTAGTTCAGGTGAGTGCCCTCCACGTGGATGGGTCTCCAAGTAAAGAGAAGGACTGGATGTGCCAGTTGGCAGATCTTGGCTTCCCTCTGCCAGGATGTGGCTTTTATAGTTTGGCTGTAAGAAGTCTTATTTTATTTTATTTTATTTCGTGTTCTTAGCAGTGCTTGCTGTAGACCCATCAAAGAGGGGCCAGGTCTCCTGGAGGACTTGAGCTTCCACAGACTTGTGGGGTCTGTCTCACGGGGACAGGGGTCATTGGGGCCACACGAGGAGGGGGTGGTGTGTGCAGCCTGGCCCCGGCCCCTGCCGGTCTGCGTCACTGCCGTGTCAGGCAGCTGCTGTTGTCCCCTGCTTCTGCAGTGGAAGCTGGTCCTTGCTAATGGCCTGGGACAGAGACAGTGGTGTCCTGGGGCTCTGAGAGCCCTGAGGAGGCCCAGGCAACCTGTGCTTAAACACATGCTCCTGTGTTTGTGTGCATGTGTTTGCTGAATAATTGAATGATTTTTGTTTGTTTAGTGGATGGAGTTACTCACTGCCATTTTTTCCCAGAGAATTTTTTTATCCCAAAATTGGATTTTTTAATGTTTGTTTTTGGTGTTAAAGCACTTTTTGGAAATGACGGTGGTATTTGTTTTTTGTTTGTTTGTTTGTTTTTGACTCTTGCTTACAGGAAAAATAAGTTGACAACTTTAGTCTAAAAAATTGTTACAGTTTTGTTGATGCAAATGTCTGGAAACTTTTGGCCAATCTGTCAGAACTATAGGATTTAGAATTTCAGAGGCCCAGTTCTCACTAAGCTAGTGTTGTGGATGGCCGCCTCTGTGTGGCGGATCCTTAGGTGGATGCCGTAGGCAGAGTGAGCTGGTCAGAGTCTTGTAGCTGCAGGACTGGTTGGGGGCCCTGATCTGGCCCTGTGCTGTCCGCATACTTCTAGCAGCGGTTTTGTGCCCTACCCAGCCTGCAGAGTCTGGGCAGTCCCCGCCCCCTGCCCTTTTTCTATGCTCCTGTTTCTGTGGGAAAGGGTTTATAGCCTGGCTCTTTTACATGTCAGTGCTGGCTTTGCTGCATGTCAGCACGAGTGGAGCTGGAGCGGGTGGCCAGCACCAGTGCCAGGAGCTACGAGGTTGGTTTAAATAGAAACATGTTTCAGTTACTGTCCTTCAAATGCAGTCCCTGTGCCAGGAAGATGTGGCCACGGACCTGTCTCTCTGGGGCTCCTGGCAGCTGTGCAGTAGTGCCCACGGGAGCTGGGGGCCACCGTCCTTTGGAGAGGCTGGGCCCTTGCTGCACGCTGAGATAGGGAGGCCAGTGAATGCGGCAGAGGGTGGGCTTCGGAACCCCCACATTTCAGCCACTGTGAACTGAAATGAGAGAAAATGTCAGAGGATCAAGAAAGTGTGGACTCAGGCCCTCGAAGAGTGTGTGAGGGGTTGGGTAGAGCAGATGCCTTTCGTCTGGCCTGGGACTTCTCAGTCTCTGTGCTGCTGACATTTGGGGCTGGAGAATGCTTTGTTTTGCAGGACTTGCTTCTGCTTTATGGGTTGTTAGGGGACATCCCTGGCCTCTGCCCACTGGAGGCTCGTAGCAAACACTGGCTCTCACCCCCTCTTTTGACAGTCAGCAGTGTCTCCAGATGTTGCCAAGTGTCCCTGGTGGGACTGAGAACCTCTCGCTGTAGCCAAGTGTTTCTCGAGCTGCAGTGTGCCTGAGAGTCCCCGAGACTGTGTGGAAGGAAGTGCCTGGTTGGGCATCTGTGGGGTGCAGCCTGAGCTTCTGCGTTTCTTTCTACCACCCGGGAGCTGCTGTGTTCGCAGCCATCCCTGGAACGGTCAGGCCGTGTTCCCTATGCGGATGAGGCATTGGCACACTCACTGGTTCCGGGAAACTGTTTAGTGTGTCTTCTGAGGCCCTTCCAGGCTGGACGTCACCTTTATGTATCTACCCTGTGTGGCAGGCCAACTTCTAAGATGGCTCTTAAGTCCCTGGTGCCTGGTGGACCACACTTTCTCCCACTAAGATGGTTTTGTGGCAGCAGGATTTTGCCGACATAACTAAGAAACCAGTCAGCCTGAAGATGCTGGGCCTGACCTACTCAGAGCAGGAGAGGGAGTCTACATATGGGGGTTCTCCCTTGCTGGTTTTGGAGGTGGAGAGGGCCGCATGGCAAGGGATGTGGGTGGTCTCTAGGAGCTGATAGCAGCCCGGGGCTGGTAGCAAGGAGGCGGCACCTTAGTCCTCCTATGTGTGGAAGAGGATCCCAAGGTCCGGGTGAGTTTGGAGCCTGGCCACCCCTGTTGATTTTAGCCTGTGAGACCCTGATCAGACAACCTGGCCGGTGTGCCTGGCCTTCTGCCCATAGACCCTGACTGGTAACAGGGGGTTCGAGCTGCTAAGTTTGTGGTAATTTGTTACACGGCAGTAGGAGACTAACATGCCCTTTTTTCTAGAATGAGCCTTCACACTGTCATTTTAGAGCCTACCTTTTTTCCTGTTGTTATTTCCTCTGTCTACTGCTTCCTCCCACCCACTTTCCAGCGAAGGGCCCCGCATCCACCCTTCTTCCCCAAGGCTGAGTGTGGGCCGTGTTGGTGGCAAGAGCTCAGTGTGAGTGTTGGACAAGCCGTTCCCCTATCTGGCACAGCTGCTGAGGGTTCTCTTTCCCCGGGTGTGGCCTGGTCAGCTGGAGGAACGGGCGGAGCGGATCCGTGCCGAGTCCCAGGTGGTCCAGGTGGAGCGGGAGAAGATGCAGATGGAGCTGAGCCACAAGAGAGCACGAGTGGAGCTGGAGCGGGCGGCCAGCACCAGTGCCAGGTGCTACGAGGTGGGTGCGAGCAGGTGGCCCCGGTGTTGGGGCGTCGTGCACGGAGCCTGCCAGGCCATAAGGCAGGTGAGCCTACCGGCTGGGCGCCTGGGTGCTCTGCCTCTGGGCTGCTGGGGCTGCTTTGTTAGGCCACAGACGCCAGCTATGCTTGATGTCCTTGGGGGGCGCAGGGCGCAGGGGACGGCTGTCCGCCACGTGTGCCCGGCCAGGGCATGCCTCTCTGCTGGGCTGCCTGTTCTCCCTTCTACCCCCGCCCCACCCAAAGAATTGGGGGGTAAACCCAGCAGAAATACCAGGTACCGCAGCGTGACAGGCTTAGAAGGTCATGGGCTTGTGTCATCCCAATTCCAGGCCAGAACAATCTTGCTCACGTGGTCATAGGGCCTCAGAGCCAGGATCTCCAGTCTTGGGGGTACTTTCTGTTGTCCCCGGCTCACCCAGGGCAAACTGGGCAAGTGCCACCCCCATTACCTAGGGAAGGTGCTTGGTTTCTACCGAGGTCGTAAATCCCTTCCTTGGGTGCGAGCAGTAGCACTTTGCCAGAGGTTTTCAGTAAGTGCCCGTGACCTGTGGGAATGCTGCCAAGACTCAGGCAAAGCGTCGGACCAGCAAGTCTCTGACCTGCTTACACTTTCCCCAGCTGTAGATGTCTGGCCCCATTCTGGCCTTATGTGGCATGTTTGCGTGCTTTCCTAGTCCTGTAAAAATAGCGATGTCTCCAGGGGTGTGATGCTAACTGGGTGTATTTGACCCTAATATGCAGGCTTCTGGCTATGGTGTGCCATGTGGGTCTAGTAGCCCAGGAACATGGCCTGTGAGTGGATCCCGTGGCCTTGGCATTGCTCCCAGGCCTTCCTCTTAAGATGGGGCTTTAGTTCATGTTCTGGGTCATCTTAGGAAGGATAGTCAGGTAGGAAGTGGTGGGAAGGGACAGGGATAGGCTGTGGGAATCTTGCTGCTCTTGAAGGTGCATTATTCAGGCTGCAGGTGGCACCAGGGGCCATTAGACGGTAGGAATGGGGGGTGTTGGTGCTATTGCCCGCGCTCTCAGGCAGACAGCAGGGGGTATGGAGCTATTGGAATTCTCCTGTGCTATTAGTCCTCCAAGGGCAAGACTGGTCCGGGCTGTCCTTGGTCTCCAGGGTGCCGCGCAGGCCATGGAACCTTATATGTGCTCAGAATACGTTGGAGTGAGTTGGAGGAGTGGATCGTTGCCTGGTTGGTGGAAGTCTTTTCTTGGGGAAATCGAAGGGTGCAGGGCTGAGTTAATCCCGGGTCCTCGAGGAGCTTTCCCTTCCCACCCACAGACATGGCTGAATGTGACCTGGAACCATGTGAGCCGGTGGCTTTCAAATTGTCCCTTTGAGTCTTAGACATCTATCATGGTTTTTCAGGGCCTGCCAGTTTGGCTGTGGGTGGAGATCTCAGAACCTCAGATGGTGACACTTTGGTTGTTGTCTGAGGTCTGGGGACCCGCAGGGACCGCCCCCTGCATACTTGGGACCGGCGGTCTGAATAGAGATGCTAGGTTCCTCTCTGGGGTGGGCTGCTCAGGGCCCTGCGTTGTGGAAGGGTCCCCTGACTCCGGAGGCCAGACTTGCAGTTCCCTCGAGTGGGCCATGTCCGTCTGCGTTCATTCAGCATTTCTTGGTGCCCGGCTAGAGAGGCCTGGTCTGAGCACTGGCTCGGGAGTGCGGGGGTGCCTCCTGCTGTACCGCCTCCCAGGGAGAGGCCAGGGGTCAGCAGCATCAGGTGCCTAGTCGGTGGTCCCTTTGCTTCTGGGGATGAGGGTGAGCTCCTAAGTGGCTGACTGCCGACTCCCTAGACCCCCACCCCTGCCCCATCCCGCCCGGGTCCATCAGAGGGAGAATGAGGAGTCTCAGTCTTGGGGCTGCCTTCCCAGTATCAGATGGTCTGCAGGAGAGGATGTGCCTGGAGGGACCTCAGCTCTCGTGGTGTGAGCGGGGCCTGCTGCATGACTGGCACCGGTGTTGGGGGGTCCCTGTCCTGAGGGAGGGCTGGGTGGGTCTCCCATTCCTGCTCACTCTCTCTGCTCTGGCAGCGCGAGGTGGACCGCAACCAGGAGCTGCTGACGCGAATTCGGCAGCTGCAGGAGCGGGAGGCTGAGGCAGAGGAGAAGATGAAGGAGCAGCTGGAGCGCCATAGGCTGTGTGAGCAGAGCCTGGCCGCTGCTGGCCAGAAGCTGCGGGAGAAGGAGGACGGCCTGGCTGCGGCCGGGGAGGTGAGGGCTGTCCCGGAAAGGGGGCGTTTCTCGGGGGAGAGGCGTGGGTACCCTGGGGTGCTGGGCAGTGTCTTCTGCCTCCTTGCCATGTGTGCGCAGTGTTCCGGTCGTAGTAATCCTAGTAAAAATACTCATTTTCCGGGGCACCTGGGGCACATCTCCCTTCGGCTCAGGTCATGATCTCAGGGTCCCGGGATTGAGTCCTGAGTCGGGCTCCCTGCTTGGAGGGGAGCCTGCTTCTTCCTCAGCCCTTTCCTCTTCCCATGCTCCTGCTCTCTCCCCGCTCCCTCAAAAAAAGAAACAAACCCAACTTGTTTTCCACTCTGTGGCCTTCATAAGTCAAACACCTAGCATTTCATCATTTAAAAACTTGCCCCACGTTTTCTCAGTATATCCTGGTAAATGTACATACGAGCACATGTATGCAGTGGGTAGCAGGTAGCTTTTGGCTTCTGGTACTGATTTTGACGTGTTCACAGGAGTGGGGTTCTGGGTCTCCAGGGACAGCATCTGGCTTTTGCTACCAGTTGCTGTGTGGTCCGGGCAGCGTTGTTGAGGGCCCTGGTTTCCCCGTGGCCTTACCTGTCATGGATGGTGGTATCTTCTGGAAATACTTGCATCCCTCCCCCTTTCCGAAGATGTAAGTGTCACCCCTGGATTTGCATTTCTTTGATTATTAGCAGGTATGTTAGTATTTGAGAACGTCTTTGAAGCCAGCACACAGAGGAACTGTAGTCCTTACTGTCTCTACCAGTTGAAGGTTGTATAAATTTTAGAAACAGAGCCCAAACACTGCTGCTGGTGGAGCTTGGATTCTCCTGACCTTCCTTGTCCCTCTGCTGTGGTGCTGCGGATCATAGGTGCAGTGAGGAAACCGATGAGGAGCTGCCTGGGGAGGGAGCAGGGCGCGGGATCATTGGTATTCTGTCTCTGCGTGCTTTTCTCTACTTGATAGATCTCGGGAAGCAGGCTGCAGGTTATTTTTGCCTTGGCAATGCTGGGGAGCATGTTAAGGTTGTTCCTACATCTGTCTTCTGATGTGGATGTTGGCAGGAGAGGAGCGGTGATCAGCCTCAAGACAAGTCCCCATGTCACCCTTGGCTTGCTTCTGCTATGTGCTAGAGGCTGGTCTGGGGCCCACGGGGGAGGGCAGGGCCTGTGCTCTGTTCAGTGAAGAGAGAGGTGGTGGGGTAGGCCCTTGCCACACAGGTTGCAAAGAGGATGAGAGAGGGGTCCAGGGTGGGAAGGTGGCGGCCAGTTGGGATAGAGGACCGTGAATTTTGTTTCTGTTTCTTTGTACCTTCTTGGAGAAGCCTTCCCCGGTGACTCCATCGTCACCGCCCCCACATGCTCTCTCTCCACGCAGCCTGGCTCGTGTGCTCGTCACTGGGAAATCCTCTTGCTGACTGCCAGGCTTCCCTACAGCCGGGTCCTGCGTGCGGCCGGCCGTCTGACCCTGTGTCCTGCACAGCGCCTGGTGTCCAGGAAGTGTTAATTAGATTCCCGAAGACTTCTCAAAGGCTGTTTTCCTAGTCAGATGTAGTTTCATAGCTTCGTTCTTCTGTGACGCCCAGGTTGATGGGTATCCTTGTAACAGAGCGGACCATGCAGATGGATGGGGCGCAGGAAGTGGACGGCCTGTGTCATCCTGCCCTGGGGAATGTGGTTCCTGGGTTGGCATGGGCCCCTGGGTCAGGTGAGAGCGTGTCAGGCCTCCTTGTTGGCAGGGGTGCCCTGGAACTGCAGGGACTTTGCTGGACCAAGTTCCTGTCCTCCACTCTGGGAGGTTATTTACAGAGACGTTTCTGAGTGGGCTTCTCTGGTGGCCTGGTCGGTGAGCTGGCTTCCCCTGGGAAAGCTACAGACAGAGAGCAGTCACCAGGTGGTCACTAGGAGGTCACCTGGTGAGGATATGTCTGATGCAAGGGTGGCAGGTCTGCCCCTAAAAGTCCTGAAGCTCGGTCCTGGGCCAGCCTCCCCAGCCCCACCTTTTTGGCCAAGAGCATGCCTGCACTTTCCCCAAGGGTGAATGTCTGGCCTCGTTCTTGCCCTCTGGTTGAGAGTATGAGGTCTGCAGGACATTCCCGTGGCCCCTCCGTCCTAAAGATGGCCTCAGTCCCTTGCTTCTGACCTCTTGGCAGGTCCTGGCTGTGGTTCACAGGGAGTGTTTTATCTGGGGTGGGGGCGTGATAGGGGCTCATTGAGGGTGGAGAGGCCAGGGCGGGTGTGGAGGGAGACCCACACAAGCACATTGGACATAAGCGAGGGTCCCAAGTGACAGATGTCACGGGGCACAGGGCTGTCTTGGCAGGCAGTCCATCACCGTGACCCAGTGGTTTCTCATTTGCTTGAGGGAAATGTGAGGCAGGCTGTGGGCCGGATACTATGAGGCTGGATTGAGGTTGTGGCATCTCCTCCCAGGTCATATTTTGTAAAGGAGAAGGTGGCTCGGTCCCTGTCCGTGGGAGGGGGTGGCCAATGCAGGCTCTTTTGGAGGCATTTGTCCGTGGGTGTGTGGGTCAGGAGCTCACATCTGCATGTGCGTCGCAGCCTGTAAGCAGCTGTACCCCCTGCCCCCCCAGACCATCAGCACGCTGAAGGGGAGGGTCTCCGAGTTGCAGTGGAGCGTGATGAACCAGGAGATGCAGGTGAAGAGCCTGGAGTCTGAGAAGCAGGAGCTCAAGGAGCAGCTGGCCTTGCAGCACAAGTAAGTGCCTTTGCTGGGGTAGGGCTCTGTCCCGGTGCCCGATGAGCCTGCTTGAGGGTCGCCCTGGATCCAGTCAGCCTGAAGCCTGCTGGGGCCGATGCTGAGCTATGTGTCCGGGTGTCTGGGTGTTACCGGTGCGGGAGACCGTGGATGGAAAGGCTCGGGCTCGTCATCCTGTGCCCTCTGTGGTCTGAGCACCTGGTGACCATGTGTGCTGTCCACGCTGAGCCTGCCCTTCCGGTCTGTCCTCCGCATCCATAGGCTGTTGGCCGCCGACGTAGGGGCCACTGAAGTGAAGACAATGAGTGTTTTAAATGTTCTGGGAACAACACTTAATGTTGTTAATGACTGGGAGCGGTCATTTCTTCCCTCCCCGGGGACTGGGATGCCTGCTTGCAGAGAAGCAAAAAGCGAGGCTTTAAAGGCTATGTGGGGCGCCCCTGGGGTGGGTGGGCTGTGGGGCTGTCCAGGCGGAGGCCACGTTCTGAACGTGCATGGGATTCTTTCTCTGTGATCTAGGCCTTTCCCTTCACAGGTGGTGTCCTAGGAGAGCTTTGGACTCTCCTGGGCCGGATTGGGGGTGTGGTGGGGGGGCGGTCACGGGAGGGCCCTCATCTGTGGCTGTGCTGGGGCGTGCAGCAAACGTGAGGGAAGAAAGCTGGGGGTGTGGACTTAGCACCCCAATCTGAGGAGATTGAGACCACAGTGCTCTGGGGCCTGGGGCCTACTCAGGAAAGCCTCCAGGGTGAGGGCAACTGTTGGCTTTACCACCTACCTCTTTCTGCACATGATGTGCTTTTCTCTCGACAGGAAATGTCAGGAGGCTAATCAGAAGGTTCAGGAGCTCCAGGCCAGCCAGGAAGCCAGGGCCGACCAGGAGCAGAGGATCAGGGTGCGTTACTCTGTTTCAGGTGCAGGCTGTACCTGCGGGGTGTCCTGGTAGTGTCCTGCCGCTTTAGCTGGGGCTCGCTTGGGTGTCCAGGGACCGTGAGCGGCCCGTGCCCGCTGTACCTTTGACACGGTTGCTCATCTCTGTGTGTGCCTTGCCTGTGCTTGGGGCTGGGGCTGCTGCCCCCCACCTCCCTCCAGCTTTGCCTCCTTGTCGGGCCTCCTGGCTCCTCCTGCTTCTGCTCACTCACGTGCTGTTCTTTGGCTCTGGGGCCTGCCCGGCTCTGGCCCCTCACTCCTGCTCAGCCCTCTGGCCCACCTGCCAGAGTGTGCTCGCCTGCGTAATGTGGTGCCTGTTTTTCTTCCAGACCTGATGTGCAGAGACCTTATCTGTGTCCTGTGTCAACCTGTGCCTGCTGCTTGACCCTGTACCTGGCACAGAGCTGGGCCCTGTTAATATTTGTTGACTGATTTGGTCCTGGTCTCATGCACTGAGCTTGTTCAGTGACTTGTCACTGATGGATGCCAGCTGTCCCCAGTGTGTCTCAAGGGGACTGCAGATGGCAAAGGAAAGGCTGTTGTCAACGTGGAGAAGACTCGCTTGTTACCTGGGCGCTAGTGTGGCAGGAGCGGATCTGGCAGGGGAAGAGCGCTGTGTCTTACCGATGTGTTTATTTAGGGAGCCTTGGCTGCCTGTCCTCGGACAGGTGTGCACCAGGGCCCCAGCCCCGAGGGCAGGGCATCGCAGTAGTGTGACCCCAACCTGTAACACCACGTTGGGGGTGCCCCTGGAGACCAACACGGACGTGGCACGGGGGTACACCTGGTATTTTGGAAGGGGGCTGGGCCACAGCGGTCAACTTTGTCCTCTCTGTCCCTGGCCTTACTCAGGATCTGGAGCAGAAGCTGTCCCTGCAGGAACAGGATGCCGCAGTCGTGAAGAATATGAAGTCAGAGCTGGTGCGGCTGCCCAAGCTGGAGAGGGAGCTGAAGCAGCTGCGGGAGGAGAGCGCCTACCTGCGGTAAGGCAGGCGCGGGCCAGGGCCAGGCTTTGCTCCTCCTCTCAGGCTTATGGGATTTTGAGGGACTTTGTTTCTGTCCCTGCCAGGGAGATGCGGGAGACCAACGGGCTGCTCCGGGAGGAGCTGGAGGGGCTGCGGCGGCGGCTGGGACGCCAGGAGAAGTTGCAGGAGAGTCTGGTCGTCCTGGAGCTGGAGAAGGAGGTGGGGTCTGGGGGGGACAGTGGGCTGTTCCTTATGGATGTCCTCTGTCTGGGGGATCCTGGGGTTTCAGTCTGGCATTCCGGTTCCCCCCTGAAATGTGGAAGTGCTGGACTGGGGTGGTCGGATGAAGAGTGGCCACAGAACTGTGGCGTCCCGTGCGGGCGCTCATGAGCCGGTCGGTGGTGGGGAGACTTGGCTGGGTGAGCACAGTGGGCCGGTGGTCACGCATCCCCATGTGGGTGGGGGACACAGAGCAGGGAATCAGGTGACGTGGGGAGGACCCGACCCCTTCTCCCTGTGCACACGGGGGCGCAGAAGCTCTGTCTCGCCCAGTGCACATGAGGGACACGAGCACTTAGCCTTCTGGCCTCTAGCCCTGGGTCCTGCTGTCCTGTGCTGCGTCACTGACAAGTCGCAGGCCCTCTTTTGTCTCCTAGGTGGTGGGAGTGTGCTGGTAGCTGCTTGCACTTGCCAGACGGGCAGCCTGTGGCCTCACAGCGTGGGAGCCGAGCTCCTCTAGGATGCTGGCTTACATGCGAACTCAGCCTGAGGAAGCAGCTCTAGACCGAGCAGTGTTTCCTCTGGGCAGTTCTGAAATTGGTTAAGATCCGGTCTCCGGAGTCACGCTGCCTTGCGTGAAATCCTGCCATGAGTGCTTGCTGGCTCTGTGACCGTGGGCAAGTTACCTAACCTCTGTCTGCCTATGTAATGAGGAGTAACGGTGTTTGCCCTGCAGGGTTGTGAGGGCTCAATGAATTCACGTCCCCTGCTTAAACAGGGCCTGGCCCTTGGTAGGTGGTCGCTGAGCATCGGCTCTGTGCCCCGCATGTGAAAGGGCCATCGAGTGACTGCACGAATGCAGTGAGGCCAGCAGGGCGTGTGGCCCGGGTGGGGGTGGGGCAGGCCAGACAGAGACGCATGGTCCTCGCCCTGACGTTTCTTACGTCTCTGGAAGAGGTGGGGGGGACTCCAACGTGGGACGCGGGTGAGTGTGGGAGAGTGTGAGATGCAGGATCAGGCAGCCCCGTGTGCAGTGCCAGGTGGGATATGTCCCACCTCCTGTTCTCCCCGCTGAGGGGGAGCGTATCTGCCCTGTGGGCCTGGCATCCCATGGAGTCCCTGGAGCGTGGCAGAGGCAGCACATTCTTGTGGTTTCAGCACTCAGGTCTGCCCTGCTGTTTTTATGGGAGCAAGCACGAGGCTCTTTGCCACCCCTGCCCCCACTCTGTGGTGCTTTGTGCGCTGAGACTCTGACCTGACTCCATGGGACCAGGAACGGGCGAGGCGCTGAGCGTGCTTGTTGTGGGAGTGAGCCGTCGGCTCCAGAGCGGACTTGGGGAGCTCGGGCGCTCAGCTCAGAGATGCGAGCAGTTTCTTCTGAGGGATCAGGGAGACGTAACATCCTCCTCATCGCTGTCACTTTTGTGGGAGGCTCCTTGGTCTGGGGACTGAGGTGGGGTCGCATGATGAAGGGCTGCAGGTGGCTGCAGAGGCCTTGGAAGGGAAGTACTGGGGTTACGGTGCTCTTAGCATTCACCTCCCTGTTTTTCCAGAAGCTGCTGGCAAAGCTGCAGAGTTGGGAGCAGCTGGAGCAGACCACGGGCTTGAACATCAGGTAGGTGGGGGTTGCAAGGGCCTCGGGGTGCTGGGCCGGTGGGCACGGCTGGGAGCACGGCCCTGGCTCCCTGGCATTGCCAGTAGCCACCCTGCTAGAGTCTGTCGGGGCGGCTCTGGCCGGGGATGGCTCAGGTCGGATGAGGTACTTACATTGTTGGGGGGCAAACAGGACCGAAGTGACCCTCTTGCCGAAGTCCTAATAACTTCTTTATTTAAGGTCAGCTGGCAGAGCGCTGGCAGGGATCTGATAGCCCTGGGGTGTCAGGCTTTGTGAAAGGACATCTTTGTGGATGCCAAGGGAGTCATTGCTTTCAGGATAGGCTGTTCCTTTTCGGCAAAAACAAACAGTGGAGACGAACTGGGTTTTGGGGGGCAAAGAAAAAACACTGTTGTGGAGGATTGTCGTGCCCTGCAGGTCCCCGCAGCAGTCTCGGCTCATCTGTGAGCTGCTGCCATTGTGGGGACGGCAGGAGGCGGAGGGGCCATGGCGGGGCTGCCGGGTGGGCAGCGGGGGTCTCGTTCCCAGTGGGCAGGACGGCCAGGGTGGGCAGCATTCCTCCGCCGCCTGCCCCTGGCCCCACACGTTCTGCTGCCCATTGTTCCAGGGGCTGCTGCCCCTCTCCCTCCAGCGTGGCTGCCTGTCCCTCGGTCCCCAGGACTCTGTGGGTCCGCTGCGGACTGGCTCTTGCCCGTAGCTTCATCACTGTGTGGTGGTTCCAGTCTGGGAGAGGGCTGGTGGGAGAGGAGTCCTCGGAGCTGTGGTGTTTCAAGAGCCTTTTGTTTTGTCTGCTTAGGTGATGTTAAGACTGTAGCTCCTTGGTTGTCTTTCATGTTGCTCTGGGCAACTGGGCCAAGACTGAGAACCTTCTTTAAAGAGTTGTCCTGTGATGACACGGTCCTGCTGCTGGTTCTGGACCCTGTGGCAGTTCCCGTCAGCATTATTGACTACATTGTGCGTCCCTTGAAAGTGCCTCCTCATCGGCTCTGCGGGGCTGAGTCACAGGACAGACGAGGCTGCTGATGGCGCTTGAACCGCACCTGCGGGGCCCAGGCTCGTGGAGGGCCGGCCCAGCGGGGCCTAGCTGCTCTGTGCTTCCTCGTGCTCTCGGCACTTATTAACTCACCGGAAGGCTTCCGTCCTGCTCCCAGGGAGCCTCGTCAGAAGAGAAACCTCCCTGATTTCTTTCTTGTGCAGGAGATCAGAGGCCCACGCATGCCCGATTGGACCAGCTGCTGGCAGGTCTAAATGCCCAGCGTGGCCACAAAGCACGCAGCATCAGTCAGGCCTGGCGGCTGACTCTGGCCCAGAGGGGAGGTGCAGCTACTCCTCGGTCCTTTGGTCTCACTTCCAGCCTGAGTATGGCTGGCGTGCGGGGCGCTGACTGCCAGCTGGGGCGGGTCATCTGCCTGGTCGCCTGCTTGTGTGTGTTGTGTGTTCAGTGGGTGGCCGGGCCAGAGGGGTGTTGAGCCCCCTTGGGGTCGGCCGTAGGAGAGTGGGTTATGTAGGCAGAGGCCGGTGTCTCTGTCGGCCCCTGGCCAGGGTGCCCCTCTTCAAGTCTGTGCCTGGCTCTGGGCTGGTCTTCTTGCTGGGAGTGCAGTGCAGGCCTCACTGTGCGTGCGGGGAGGAGCACAGTCCCATGCTGCACAGGTGTCCCTTCTGAGTGGCCGGAGGCTTCTGGAGAAGCAGGTGGGGCATCCTCGTGGTCCTGGGCTCCTGGCAGCCGTTGGGGAGGGGTCCTGTAGGGGCAGCTTTTCTTTCATGTGCTTTGTCACCTGTTCCCTGGTCCCTTCCAGGGGCACTTTGGAAACCACGGTTCCTCCCCTTTACCCCTCCCATCCCAGCAGGCAGGCTGCCCCCCCGAAGTGAGTACATGTGTCATGTAACAGTTGGTGGATCACAGACTTGTGTTTTCCCTGTCATCAGAGCCATGTGGAGAGTTGGGTACAGATGGGTCAGCCTTGAGTCTTGTATGACCTTGAGTGCTATGAGGAGGAGTTTGGCTCTCGTTTTTTGCTGAGTTTGGGGCAGTTAGAGATTTCTGTGCAGGGACAGTGACTTGTAGGAGCCCACATCTTGTGGGATTGAATATGGGGTGGGAAACGTGCAGAGGGAAATAGGGCACAGGGAAAGGTTGGGGTCCCTGCAGGGGGAGCATGGGAGGGAAGGATGGGCATTGGTTAGGAGCTCTGAGACTGCTGTCTGGATGGCTGGAGGTAGAACTGCCTGCAGTGGGTCCAGGATGGATGCCCTCCATCACTCTTGCCACGTTCCGTGTGGCAGAGGACTGGAGGACCACGTTCCGTGCTGAGTAATGAATGGCTAGATGTGTGTCTGTCCCCAGCGTGGCCCTCGTGTTGTGGGGGGGTAGCTTGTGCCTCATCTTTCACACCTGTTCGTGGAAGGACTTTTCTAGAACATGGCTTTCTTCCCATGGAAACATGTTTGTGGGTGTGTCCTAGTTCAGGGGTGCACCCCCCCCACAAAGCACAGTCAGCCAGGGCGATGGCAGTGGGTTGGAGTGTAGCAGATGCCCTGGATGTAGGGGCTGGAGGAGCAAGGTGGGCCTTGTGAGCTGGCGGGCTTGAGTTTCTTGGCGTTTAGGCCAAGGTGTTGTTGTCACGTTGGGACTGAAGGCATTCACTTGGCATGTGTCGTGACCGCAGGTCCTGGCCCACGTCCAGTGTCTCCTGGGCTTTGAGGGCTGCCACCACTAGGTGGCACCCCTGCCCCCGTGATCCTGATCCCTGCACCTCGATAGCCGCAGGGTCCCCGTGGATTTCTGGCCCCACACTTGTGGCCTACCGCTCTTCCTGGTCCTCTGCCGCTCTGCGTGGGACTTACATGCTGCACCTGGGGCCAGAGGAGCAGGGGTGTGAGGGCACCTGTGGGCAGCTGGCTGGCCCCTGTTCGCTGTCCTGCCCGCCCCCATTGGCTGTCCCACACTTAACCTATTTTCCACCAGCTTCTTTATCATCCGTAAATGCTTGGTGTCTGTGAGCTTCCGATGTTTCAGACCAGATAGTCTCTGCATAGGCTATCCTTTGTGCTCACGGCTGTGGCATTTCAAAGCTTCTCGGAGGGCCCTGTAGCTTTACAGAGGTTGGGAACAGAGATCAGGTCTGACACCTGGAGAGACCAAAACCCCCTGGAGTTCTCGACTCTTGTCGCCCTTCTCCCAGTTTGGGTTTTCTTAGGCCCCAAGGAGCCCAGAGGTGTCAGGAGAGTTGGGTAGAGTTAGCTGGGGCGGGTCAGGCCATGTAAACCAGTAGGGAAGCCCCTTGGCTCTTTCCTCACCTGCCATGCAGGCTTGTCCACCTGGAGGTTGCTGGATACCTGTCTCCAGCCTGCAGGTCACCTGGGTTGGAGGCAGGTGGGCCTCGGGACTTGGAGAGTCCTGGGTGGGAGGGAATGCTGCTCTAGGCTGGGTGGGGTGCCGCGCACCTGGGGGAGGCTGCAGTGGGGGAGGGAGGGTGAGTGAGTGTGATGCTTGGATGTCCTCATTTCAGGGCTTTGAAAGGTGAGTGAGGGATTCGGCAGCAGCACACAGAGCGTGCCCGGGTGTGGACAGCTTTGCTCTGGGTACGTGGCCTGGTGGGGAAGGATTTGAAGGTACTCAAAGCGGATGCCAGGAGACACTCTCTGCATCTGTGTCAGCGTGGATGTGACTGTCTGGGGCACCGGAGAAGGAATAACGTGGGGGAGGGGCAGGGGCAGTAGAGCAGAAGGGGCACCTGCTGCAACATAAGGGCACCTCCTTCAGAGCGCTGGTTCGCGTGGTTCGCTGTGGTAATAGGTTAGGGGGAGCACACTTTCTCAGTAGTGCAGAAGCTTTGTGAGAGCTTAGCACCCTTGCATGATGCAAACCTCCAAGCAACGCAGGAGTGGAAGGGCCCCCGGTGCAGTTCCTGCCAACTCTGCACTTGCATGCCTCTCCCCGCTCCTCATCTGTGGTGGTGGCCGTGCAGGCCAGGGCAGAGGTGGGAGGGGAAAGAAAGGCGTGCAGCTGGACAGGAGGTAGTAAATCTGCCTGTGGTTTGAGACAAGATGATCACCCACACAGGAGAGCTCAAGGATTCTGTGAAGGGCCACCCAGAACTGGTAAGCCTAACCGGCTCGCGGTTACAGAGACAACTCATGAAGCTGGACTGAATTTCTGTGTACTGGCAGCCAGCCACTGGAAGTACGTGCCACTGGCCGTGGCCTCGAAACTTGATGTGCTTGGGGGTAAATTTGATGAAAACCTGTATGTTGTAAAGTGTAAGTTCTTCCTGAGGGATACTGTGCTCACGGAGTGGAGGAGCTCATGTTGTGGGATGCTAGTTTGCTAAAATTGGTCCGTACTTCCAGTGCAATTCCAGCCTAAGTCCCAGCAGCTTTTTTGGTAGAAACCAACAAAATTCTAAAATTTTATAGGCTTGTTCATGAAAAAAACCAAGGGCTTACAAAGGTTGATTTCAGGACATATTATAAACCATATTGGTCAAGGCAGTGTGGTAATGGCATAAGGATAGACATACACGTCAACAGAAAAGACTAAAAAGTTCAGGAATAATTCAAAAGTGTGGAGTCTGTTGGTCTCCATGAAGGTGATGAGATAATTCAGCAGAAGAGTCTGTGTTCCACAGACAGTGCTGAGGCAGTGGGATGTCTGTGTGGTCAGGTCCGGACTCTTGTCTCTTAACGTGGGGTATGCACCTGCCTGGGGTGAAAACCAAGGCTTCCAGAAGGTTAGGACACAAAAGAAGGCACAAAAGATGTAGAAAACTTGGTAGTTTGGAGTTCTCCAAGATGAAAAAGTACCTTTGTTCTTGGAAAAAAACAGTTATAATAAAGAAGAGGCAAACCCTCTTATAGGAGAGAGAAAGTACTTGTAATGTGTACAGAGGCCTGATGGGAGATTTGTATCCAGGATTTGTGAAGAATTCTTCCGAGTGAATGAGACAACGGCCAGTTTTTTAAAAGCTGGGCAAAACGTGTTGAACAGACCACTTTACAGA